AACATCTCTTTAAGATAAAAAACCCTCAGCACACTGGGTCTAGAAGGAATATACTTTGAAATAATAAAGGCCACACATGACAAACCCACAGCTAACATCATACTGAATGGGGGAGAAATTGAAGGCCTTTTCTCTAAGATCTGCAACAAGACAAGGATGACTATTTTCACTGTTTTTATACAAGGTGGTATTGGTAAGAGAAAGCAATAAATGGCATTCAAGCTGGAAAGGCAGAAGTCAAATCAGGCTTTTTCACAGATAACATGATCTTAGAAAAACCTAAAAAACCTACACCAAAAAACTGTTAGAACTGATAAGGGAATTCAGTAAATTTGCAGGATATAATAGTCAACATATAAAAATCAGCATTTTTATTATATATTGATAACAATGAGCAAGCTGAAAAAGAAATCAAGAAAGCAATCCCATTCACAATAGCTACAGAGAATATAACATACCTTGGAATGAATTTAACCAAAGAAGTGAAGGATCTACACAAGGGAATCTATAAAATAATGATGAAAGAAATTGAAGAAGACACAAAAAAATGAAAAGGTATTCCATGCTCATGGATGACAATTAATGTTGTTAAAATGACAATACTACCCAAAGTAATTTATAGATTTGATGCAATCCATATCAAAATACCAATGACATTCTTCACAGAAAAAGAAAAACTCCTAAAATTTATATGGAACTACAAATGACCCCGAGTAGCCAAAGCAATCCTGAGCAAAAAGAACAAAGCTGGAAGCATCACATTACCTGACATTGAAATTTACTACAAAGCTATAGTAACTAAATCAGCGTGGTACTAGTATAAAAACAGACACATAGACCAATGGAACAGAATAAAGAACACAGATATAAACCCATGCATTTATAGTCAACTCATCTTCTACAAAGGTGCCAAGAATATACAATGGGGAAAGGACAGTCTCCTCAATAAATGGTGCTGGAAAAACTGGATAACCATATGCAGAAGAATGAAACTAGACCCTTACCTCTCATCATATACAAAAATCAAATAAAAATGGATTAAAGACTTTAAGACCTAAAACTATAAATACCAGAAGACAACATTGGAAAAATGCTGTAGGACACTGGCATTGGGAAAGATTTTTTTGTGTAAAACCTCAAAAGTACAGGCAATTAAAACAAAAATAGACAAATGAGGCTGGGCGTAGTGGCTCACGCCTGTAATCCTAGCTGTTTGGGAGGCCGAGGCAGGCGGATTGCTCAAGGTCAGGAGTTCAAAACCAGCTTGAGCAAGAGCGAGACCCCATCTCTACTATAAATAGAAAGAAATCAATTGGCCAACTAATATATATATAGAAAAAAGTAGCCAGGTATGGTGGCACATGCCTGTAGTCCCAGGTACTTGGGAGGCTAAGGCAGTAGGATTGCTTGAGCCCAGGAGTTTGAGGTTGCTGTGAGCTAGGCTGACGCCGTGGCACTCACTCTAGCCTGGACAACAAAGTGAGACTCTGTCTCAAAACAAACAAACAAACAAACAAACAAACAAAAAATAGACAAATGGGATTACATCAAGCTAAAAGCACATCAAACAATCAGCAAAGTGAAGGGACAACCCACAGAATGGGAGAAAATATTTGCAGACTGTATGTCAGAGAAGGGGCTATTATTCAAACTCTGCAAGGAACTCAAACTACTTAACAATAATAAAACAAGTAACTCTGTTAAAAATGGGCAAAGGATCGGAATAGACATTTATCAAAAAAAAGAAAGACATACAAATGTCCAAAAGGTATGTAAAGAATGCTTAACATCACTAATCATCAGAGAAATGCAAATCAAAACTACAATGAGCTATCATCTCATCCTAGTTAAAATAAGTGGCTTTTGTCAAAAAGGCAATAATAAATGCTGGTGAGAATATAGAGAAAGGGAAAGTCTTGTACATTGTTGGTGGGAATATAAATTAGTACAGCCACTACGGAGAGCAGTATGGAGGCTCCTCAAAACACTAAAAATAGAACTACCATATGATGCGACATTTACACAACTGGGCATATATTTAAAAGAAAGGAAGTCAACATATTAAAAACACATCTGCACTCCCACATTTATTGCAGTGCTATTCACAATAGCCAAGATTTGAAATCAACCTAAGTGCCCATCAGTAGATGAATGGATAAAAAAAATGTGGAAACAACCCAAGTGCCCATCAATACACAAGTGGATTAATAAAATGTGGTATATGTATACCATGGAGTACTATTCAACTATAACAAACAATGGTGATATAGCACCTCTTGTATTTTCCTGGATAGAGCTGAAACCCATTCTACTAAGTGAAGTATCCCAAGAATGGAAAAATAAGCACCACAGGTACTCACCAGCAAATTGGTTTCACTGATCGACACCTAAGTGGACATATAGGAATAACATTTATCGGGCAGATGGGAGGGAGGAGGAGGGGATGGGTTTATACATACATAATGAGTGAGATGCGCACCATCCGAAGGATGGACATGCTTGAAGCTCTTACTCTGGGGGGGAAGGCAACACACGTAACCCAAACATTTGTACCCCCATGATATGCTAAAATAAAAAATAATAAAAATAAAATATTTTACAGGTAAAAAATAAACCAGAAAATGTGGTACATATACACAATGGAATTTAATTGAGCCATAAAAAAAGAATGAAATCCTGTCATTTGCAGCAACATGGATGGAACTGGAGGTCATTATGTTAAGAGAAATAAACCAAGCTCAGAAAGACAAATATTGCATATCCTCACTCACATGTGGGAGCTAAAAAAGTGGATCTCATGAAGATAGAGATTAGATTGGTGGTTACCAGAAGCCAGGAGAGTAGGAGGGAGTAGGGGAATGAAAAGTTGTTTAATGAGCACAAATATATGGTTTGATAGAAGAAGTAAGACCTACCTAGTATTAGATATATCAGTAGGGTTGCTATAGTTTATAATCTGTATATTTCAAAATATTAATAGTTGTAAGAATTTGAATGGTTCTAGCATAAAGAATAATCAAATATTTTAGGTGATGGATATCCCAAGTATACTGATTTTATCTTTACAAATTATATGAATGTATTAAATTATCACACATACCCTGAAACTATGTATGTATATTATGTATCAGTAAAATTTTTTTAAAAGAACCATGAATGTGGAGGAAATATTTGGGATTTTCCTGAGATGCAGTTATTAAATATTCCAGAATACTTATAGGTAGATTTATTAAAAGAGTTATCCACAGATTATTTTTATTTCTGCAAGCTAGACTTTGGTTAAGAGGACTAGGAATTAATGTTTATTAGGCACAACTAAGTGCCAGGCACTTAACCTATGCTAAATTATTTTAACTCTTGTGTCATTACCGGAAATACATTGTTTTATAGATGTGGAAACTGAGTCTTAGAGTAGTAAGAAACATGCCCAATAACATACTGATAAATGGTAGATCTAACCCAGACATGTCTAACTCTAAAGCCAGTACTCTCTCACCTTGTGGTTAAACATTGCCACATGAGTGGCAGTAAGTACCAAGAGCATTGCTGGGAGGCAGGTCTTTTAGCTATTCTCATGCAACCCTACCTAGAAATAGAAGCTGAGTTATATGGCATCTTAAGGACAGAAATTCAGTCCTAAGATCATGTCTTATGTGGTGCTGGCTTTGTTTCATACCACTGTATTCTGTTCTTTGGGACTACCTTTTAGACAAATCCAGCTGCCATAAGAGTAGTTTAGCTGCCATAAGAGTAGTTAAGCTTCTAGAATCCAGGCTCTTGAAACCATTGCCATGGCTAACTCATTATAGCACAATTCAAGCTTCTGATGGCCATAAATGACGAAGTATGATACATTTCTGGGATGATTTATGGTTCATACAATGGTATTTCTTTTTCTCCTACTATTCATCAATGTCTTCTTTTCTGCCCTTGTTCTATGGAGTGTTTCCCTAGAAACTGGATTTTAGTCTAGTTTTGCTGTCATTTCACTTTGAGCCTCATATCAAGTTTAGGTTACACTTGATAGACATGCAGGTCAAAGAAGATATACTTCTCTTTTTATTTTATTTTTTTTAGAGATAGGGTCTTCCTCTGTCACTCGGGCTAGAGTGCAATGGCACATTCATAGCTTACTGCAACCTCCAACTCCTGCCTCAGCCTCCTGAATATAGGTGCGTGCCACCATACTTGGCTAACTTTTAAATTTTTTGTAAAGATGAGTCTCACTATGTTGCTCAGACTGGTCTCAAACTCCTGGCCTGAAGCAGTCTTCCTGCTTTAGCTTCCCAAAGTGCTGGGATTACAGGTATGAGCCACTGCACCTGGCCCTAATTATCTTCAATAAACAAAGCTAACAACATAATCCTGGACAAAAACTTCTAAAAAGTTCATACTCATATACGTTTCCCATGGTTATGAGTACTCACAAAAAGGAACAATTATATCTTCCTTGTCTGTACTTACAAATGTCATATAATAAATTAGCTATAATATTTTATTTTCTACACATTAAAATTTTAATCAAGACTTAATCACCAAGCATTAGCAGTGGACAGCCCAGTTACATTGGTACACCAGTGATCATTGTGGAGAGTTAAATTTTCAGCAGCTTTGTTTTATGCAAGAGTATTTTATTTTGAAAATGAATGTTTTTTCTTATTCATAACTGAAAATACTTCACACCTGTTTCTTTTAAATAAAGACATTTATTTGGAGAATATTAGTAGCATGATAACTCAACCCCACCAGATTTAACAGTTCATCCATCAGGTCAGGCAACAGGTAGAACAAGTCCATGTGAACGTCTTATAAAGAAATGGGTGAGCTCCTCCATAGCTGCTTCCACCTTCCATGTAATGACTGGATGATTCATAATCCAAAATATGACGTTTTGGGACTTTTTCTCAAAAGGAGAAACTTGGGGAAAATGTGTGAAGCAACAACATTGACCTCTTTCTTTTTTTCTTTTTTATGAAACTTTAACTGCATATTTCAGTCTTGTGGAATCTTTTGTGTTATTCTGACTGTCAATAAGAATCAGGGGACTATGTTGATGATTCTTGATGATTTCGGCAACACTTCCAAAGTACTAGAAAAAGAAAACAGATGAATTATACATTGGCATTTATGTTAATCTTCTTCTACTTTCTCAAGTTAGTAAAAGTTATTAGGTCCCAGTTGACATTCTGCCCAACAAAGTCTATCAAAGACTATAACCTTCAAGGTGGAAGGTTCTGGACTTTCCTATATTCAGTAAGACAAAAAACACACTGACAGCCCCAATTAGTAAAACTACATAAAGAAAGTACTTCATTGAGTTATGATATAATATTTTTAGATTTTGCTTTTTATTTAGTATCTAATGTGAAACTGTCATACAATTAATTTTTCTTCATTCTTTACAAAACGGTTATCTATTACTTTGCACAAGTCTTAGCTATGAGATTTTATGTAATAAATTAACCTTAGAATTTAGTAACAGGAAAAAGTTATTTCTTAGATAAATTATGGGTTTTCGAACAAATAAAGAAAGCTTTATAAATCCTCATATTTCCATTTTTACTTGGCTACCAGTTATCCTTAGAGTTAACTTAGTGCCTTACTAACAATAAAATTTTATGCTTGGCTCTGACTATACATATTTATTTTTTATATGTTCTAATCCCTGTTGTCCATGGTGTTTAATATTATCACACATTTTTTCTGAAAATTGAAGTTTTAAATGAAAGATAAAATAAATATAACACAGACCATGAAATGAAATGCATTGACTGTACAAAAATGCTACAAGTTCAGAATCACCAAATAAATGTATTCAGAGTCATTTTTAAAAGGTGGTAATTGTTTTGCAACAGTGCCGTGAGTTTACCAATTACTATCAATTGATTTTATTGTCTCAATTTTCCAGATAAAGACAAACATCTAGGATAAAAATGTTGAAAAGCCTTTATTAATTGTTTGGCTTTCAAGTATCTACATGTTAAATAAAGTAAAATATTTATAATATTGGCCAATTTTTTATATGAAATACCAATTGTCTTTTAGATGATTGGCTATCTGAATATTAGGTAAGGGAGGAGGAGAGACAGAGACCTTCAAATACCTTTATTCTTTTTTCCTCACTTTCTATTCAATCATTCAGCCCCCTTGCATTTGCCCATGTAATTATTTTATGATAAATCCCACAAGACATTCATTCTGTTTGGCATAACGTGTTGTTAAACCAAATGCAGTTGAAAGTTAAATTTATAGATTGAAGGGCTAGGAATCAAAATAGTACAAACTCTTTGAACTGGATTCCAACATAAAAAGTGTGTTCTGAACCCAGAAAGAATAGGAGAGAGTTGCTGTACTTATACAAACAAATATCTTATTCTGTCCATCTAATCCCTGAATATTTTTGAGTATTGCCTTGTAGCATTTGGGGACTGAAATGTTTATAGTAGGGAGTTGAATTGAGTTGAAATGTCTGAAGTAGGGAGTAGAGTTGAAGAATACTTGCAATTTAATTGAAAGAAGAATTGGGCATAACATAGTTGCAGTTTTCCCTCAGTTTTCTTTTTCTTTTTTATCCTGTTTACATTAACAGTGTATTTGAGATAGAAAGAAAAGAAAAACTTGTTTGATAACTCAAAATCTCATGGCCAATAAAATAGATAGTCATCAAAGCTGTAAAATTACTCAATACTGTATCACACAATGCCAAAAAAGCTACATAAAAAGTTAAACAGTTAATCAATTGGCTACTTTTTCTATCCATATACACACAAATACAGACACACAGACTTTAAAACATATCCAAACTTTAAAAAATATCCACATGGTTGACATCATGTAACCAAACTTTTTATTTTCCATTCAGGTGTTCAGTATATGAAAGACATGATCTTTTTATTGTAGATAATTAAGAGTTTTAATTGGCTGTCAGTACCTCCAACTGCCATTATAGTTATATACTACTTATTTTGGAATCCATAGGTTGGATATGTTAGGAGTAAGGTGAAGCTCTGATCTATTAATTTTCAAATAGGGATGAAAATTCATTAGGCCCAAAGGAATCCTTGTCTACTAGTGCGCTTCGTCACAGGACAATTAAGTCCAGAGCCCCTCTGGCAGCTCAAAATTTATGAGAGAGAATTTCAGGACATCTAAATAGGATGGTTCCTTCACCCACCCTTAAGCCTCTTATAGAAGAGTCAAACCCCCAGGAAGCTTTAAAATGTTAAATGATAATGCAATCTACATTTTAAAACCCAAGTTTGGCCCTGATCAGTGCGCTCAGATTCAAGAGTTTTACATTTTCTAATTATCTGAGACATTATTAAATGCAAAATAAAACCCCAAACTATAAAAATCCTAGATGAAAACATACAGGGAAAACTTCATGACACTGAATTTGGCAATGATTTTTTGGATATGACCTAAAAGCATAAGCAACAAAAGCAAAAATAGACAAATCAGACTACATCAAATGTAAAACTTGTCTTCAGCAAAGAACACAATCAACATAGTGAAAAGGTAATGCACAGAATGGGGGAAAATATTTGCAAATCATATATCTGATAAGGGGTTAATATCCAGAATATATAAAGAACTCCTAAAACTCAACAACAACAAAAAAATCAAATAACCTGATTTAAAAATGGGCAAAGGATTTGAATAGACATTTGTCCAAACATGATATATAAGTGGACCACAAGCATATGAAAAGATGTTCAACATCACTAATCATCAGAGAAATGCAAATCAAAACTATAATGAGATATTATCTTACACCCATTAGGACGGCTATTATAAACAAATAAAAAAAAACAGAAAATAACAAATATTGGTGGGGATGTGAGGAAGTTGAACCCTTGTGTACTGTTGTTAGAATTGTAAAATGACGCAATTTCTATGAAGAAAAGTATGGCAGTTCCTCAAAAAAAATTAAAAATAGAATGACCATATGAGCCAGCAATTCTGGTATATACTCAAAAGAATTGAAAGCAGTGTCTCGGAGAGATTTACACACCCATGGTCATCACAGCACTATGCATAATAACCACAGGATGGAAGCAATGCAAATGTCCACTGATGGATGAATAGATAAACAAAATATAAAGATACAATTAGATACTATGCAGCTTTAAAAAGCAAGGAAATCCTGTAACATGCTACAACATGGATGACTTTGAGGCCATTATGCTAAGTGAAGTAAGCCTGTTGCAAACAACAAATACTATGTAATTCCACTTATATGAAGTATCTAACATAGTCAAAACTAGTATCTAACATAACAAAACTAGAAAGTGGTTGTCAGGGACTGAATGGAGAGTGAAAGGGAAGTTGTTTAATGGGAGTAGAGTTTCACTTCTGTAAGATTAAAAAGTTCTGGAGATTCATTTTACAACAATGTAAATATAATATACTTAACACTACTGAACTATGCACTTTAAAATGGTTAAGATAGTAAATTTTATGATATGTATTTTTTACCATAATTTTTTTCAGAAGCAAAATCAAGACCACAAGAACACACGAGACCTTTTCAGTTTGTTTTACAAATGCTATGCTCCTGTCTGTAATCATTCGATCAGATCAGTGTATTCATTCAGTAAGTATTAATCAAGTGTCCACTGTAGCCAGCCACTGTGCTCTGGTTCTGGAAATACGGATATGAACAAGACATAGTCCCTGGGCTCATCTAGTAGAGAAGACAGACACTTCAGCAATTATGACACCTTTTAACATTTCAAACACTGAACAAGTTCTGGGTTTGGAATGGTGTGGCTTTTTCTGAAGGAACACTGAAAATAAATATTTCTTACCCTGAACTTTGTTTATGCTATTTTCTCTGCTTTAGATTGTTCTTTCCAGTTTTCTCCTTCTCCTTCCCTCCAGCTTTCATTCTATTTATTCAAATTCAACTCATAATTCAAAAGCAGAACAAGTATCACTCCCTTTCTGAGTCTTTCATCTGTCACTCCAGCTCATATTTCAGGGTTCATTTATACAAACAGGCTGGATAATCTGAGATATGGTAAGCATTGAGTTTGGTCCAGTTTAAAGAGTCATTAAAGTTCATGTTCAGTCAATATTTAAGACTCATATGATTGATGTTTTTTTCTTGCTGCAGGCCCATAAGCTCACTCTGGTACAAGAGTTATCATCTAATGTTTTAACTCAAGTTTCTGCATCTCTTCCAGATCCTTCCCTGGTCACCGCCTACCTCGGTACCTGAGTTGAGATTCTAGGTCTTGACTTTGGAGCTCTGGACCCTGACCTTGATTCTGACAATCTTAATTCTATTTGACATTTCAACCTTGATTGAAGGTTCAATCAAGGTTGACATTCAACCTTGATGTGTGTCTCTGGACTGAAATCTTAAGTCAGATTGACCTTATTAAGTAAGTGGAGGAAAGGACTAAGATGTACATCATTTTTTCCTTTTCTGTTTCTCAAAGGATATGTTGCCCAAATATAGTGTTTATCATAGTCTCTATTTATGACATTTATGCAAGCATAAGACCAAATACCTTTGGATCCTTTTTCCTCATCTCTAGCACCTAATACAGTATGATGCCATTGTGCTCAATGCATAGTTGTAGAGTTGATTAAAGGAGAAATTACTGACCTCTTCACCATTTTTCTTTCTGCCTAAAGCATATTGTTTTGTTGCTTCAATAAATCGCACAGGTATATTATATACTCGCTTATTAAAGAATACAACTAGTGTATATGGCTGTTTGGAATCATGGCCAGAGCTTTTCCGAATAAGAAATGATCCATCCTGTTTAATAAAAGAAACACATATTTATGGTTAGTATTACTTGCATTTCTGCAGTTTAAAAATCAGTTTATGAAGAATATCTATATTATACTCCAAAGGTGATTATTTTTAGCTACATGATTTTTATTATTGATTAGAGTTTGTTTTATTATTTTCCAAGAAAATAGTCCAGCAAAATATATACTCGTAGAAAATCCTGAGTGAGGTCAATGCTAGCTTTTTGATGTACTAAATAATGTATTATGTTTATAGAATTTAAAAATATTTATACAGACATTAAAATCAAACCCGGGGACTCTCTTGAACTAGTAATCATGTATACCAGTTGCCTATGGGAAAAAAAGGTATCAAACAAATTCCATTCAAAAGTACTGCAAGGAAAAAAAAAAAACTACAAACCCAAAAGTACTGTAAGAAGAAAACAGAGATTGGGAATCAAAACTTTCAGCTGGTGAAAATTCTCTCCCCAAAGAACTTATATGAAAACAGCAATAAAAAATTCCCCCAAACTGTAACATAATACTCCAAATTTTATTAAATATTTTATAAAAATATGCTGGAGTTATAAATTCCAAAATTATGAACAATAAATGGACAAAAACCAGAATGAAACACAATAGGAGTTGATCAAACTCAGGAAAAAAATTGAAGGAAAAGACAAACCCACATCTAGAAACAAAGAAAAAATTATAAGATGTCCAAGGGACAATAGTTTTAAAGGAGGATTTAATAAATCACACTGAAGGAAGATATGGAAACAACCAAGACAATAAAAAAAGAGAAATATAATAAAAGAAGTACAATAAGTTCAGAGAGAGTGATTAGAATGAAAGAAGGACCAAAAAAAAAAAAAAAAAGGATCCAAAATGCGTGTAAATTGAGTCCTTGAAGAAGAAAAACAAAACACTGGAACAGAACTACCCTTTAAGACTATAATCTAAGAAAACTTACTGGATATAAAAGAAAACTTAAATCTACTTATTAAAAGGGCTTCTTTCTACCTGAGAAAATTGACCTGGAACAATCAACTCAGAGACATATTCTGGTAAAACTATTAGACTTTAAAAACAAAAAGTCTGCTGATTCTACATAAATCTTTTAAAAATTAAAAAAAAAAAAAAGAATTGAGACGGAGGAAGAAAGATATGCTTGAAAGAGAGAAGGGGATGGTAGTTTCTTTTGAGTGAGTAAAGGAAAAAGACCCCTTCATCCATAATTGTTGGAATTTTAAATAATCAGCATGTTATCAGGATGACAACTGTGCCTCTCATAGGCTGACGGCAAAATAACAGGATTTGAAAAGATCACACCTTGTTTGATCTGTGTAATGCCTCTTCAGCAGACTTTCGGTCGCAGGCACCAGCATACCATGGCTTACAGTGGACGTCAGCTTCCTGTGACATGGAGGGCATTGGTAAGCGTGAGCTGGCCCGGAAACAACTCTGAAACTTCCATGCAGCCGACACAAGCCCCATTTGCATTACCAAGACAAGCCTCACTACATTTGGACCAGTAATTTGAGAGTGAGTTTTATGCTTCCTTTGATAAACCACAGGATTTTTTTTTTTTTACTTCCTCACCTCCATTTGGCCTTAACTACTAAACTTAGTACTTGACTATAACTAAATTCCACTAGGTTCTTGAACCATTTCTTTCTTTCTCCTAAAGAAGTAATAATCTCCCTTTCCACTGTGCTTTTATTGTTGTTGTTTTATGGAGTGCTTTATAATTGCCAAAGTGTTTTTACAAATATTATCTTACTTGATTCTTGCTACATGCCCTCTTTGAAGACAAAAAGGATATATGCTTTCATCCTTATTGTACATTTTTACATACTTACCATCTTTACACATCTTTTTACATAAGCTTAGGGAGACTTGCCCAAGGGTTTGCAGGGTCTCTTCTCAGTCTCTTTAAACTGTGCTGTCTTATGTATGTTTTAATATCAAAAGCCTCCACAGATTTATTCTAACAAAATTACAAAGCTTAAATAAAATCTATGTGAGAGAAGAACAATGAAAGCAACACATTTCCTTGCTACTTTTGAAGAAACACTAATTGTTATTCAGGGCATCTGGAATACAAATCAGAATGGAGCAAGGTCTTAGTCATTGAAAAAAACAAGTGTTCTGTACCCATCAGCAAATGACCACTCACAAACAGACTTCAAATATAGACTGTGTTCCCAAGCTTCACTCCAGACTCTCTGTTCTCAGAAGGCATGCCCTTTCCTGCAGTTTCCTGGTAACAGTTTCGTGACATTAAGAGTTCATTTCATACCTGTTCTGAAATAGTGGAATTAGGTGAAAAGCTGGGTAATGGCCCATCCACAGTTGAGCTTCCCCCTTCTGGAAATCCTGAAAGGGATTTGAAAAGTCCTTTACTTAATCTTCACTGTTTCTTGAGCATGCACTATGCCTACACCCCAGCACTGTGCTAGATGCTGCCAGGGACACACACACCAAAAAAATCCCTAAGGCAGGGGTTCAAAAAATGTGATCCGAAGACCCCTGGAAATCCCAAGGTCCTTTCAGGGTGTGCAAGAGACCTTTCCTTTTCTGATTCCCTCTATGAAGCCTGATTTTCTTCATATATTTCAACCAGAAAAAAAAAATATTGCAATAGATTGAATGTAGAAACAGATACAAGAATCCAGCAGTCTCTGTTGGATTCTGTCTCTAATCTCCAGACCTTAAAGAGACTTATTAAGTGTAAAACAACACCACTCCTCCCACTAAATTGTTTTTGTTTGGAAAATATAGATATTTCTCAGCAAATGTTAACATTTAATGAATTTAATATTATTTTAGAACTCCTGACCTCAAGCAATCCGCCGCCCGCCTTGGCCTCCCAGAGTGCTAGGATTATAGGCGTGAGCCACCATGCCTGGCCGAATTTTAATATTATCTTAAATGGATTAACAATATTATAATAATAATTAATATTATTTTAAATGGATTAACAAATATGCTTTAAGTGTCTCCATTTTAGCTTTATTCATGCCTGCATCTCCTGTACCTAGAACAGTGCCTAGCACATGCAGATGGTCAATAACAATTGAAAGAATGACTTGAGTTGAAAAACAATAAAAGGTAAAATAAAGCTTTTTAATTAATGAAAAATAAATTTCTATAGCCAAATCATTTTCACTTTGTGTTGTCAGAATTAAAAAAAAAACTATTTAGGCAAAGTTGAATTTATTTAAGATGAATAAAAATGTTACCAAAACCTAAAAAAAAAACCCTTATGTTTATGAAAATGCATATTTTTGGTATATAACAATTACTCTGTTTATTTAAATAGATTTGATATTGATTATTTTGGTATATATTTCAAATTATCTATGTAATGCAGAGTTTTTCTTCTTTTTTCTCCTACATTGAGTAGAAAGCAAATTAAAATTTGGGCAGTTACATTCTGTGAGCCTGACTTATCTGATTCATATTATTTTTAGGGTGACGTTTGCCTTGGGAAAATTATACAGATTATTTTCCATATCCTCTTTTCAGGGTACCTTTTGTAGTTATATTTTATAATCATTAAAATGTATTTTAGATTTAGTTTAAATAGCTATCATGTATTGAGGACCTTCCAAGCCCTACCAAGCACTATGCCAGGACTTTCCATATATTATTTTACTTAATCTTCTTATTTTGAAAACAGCTGTATTGTTTTTGTGAAAAAAAATACATGACCAATAAATATTAAATCAATACTAAAAATAAATAAAAATTGTCTCAAAACCCTTTACTTTTCAAAACAACTCTATGAAATAAATATCCTTGGCCCCATTTTATAGATGAGGAAACAAGCAAGAGAAGATGCCAAGACCACACGGCTGGAAGTGACGGTGTGGAGTGGAACCTAGGTCTAGCAGGCACTAAGATCCAGCCTTGACCATGACCTGACACTGCTCTTCATGACTTCATTGTACTTACTTGGCAGAGGTACGGGTTTTTGGTGCATGTGTCTGAAAGGAAGAATTTCAGATTAATTAAAGGGCAATGCACAACATGAATACGTTTGACTTTTTGTTTACTCTGACAATACTCTGAACAAAGGGACCAATACGAATAGCCAGTAAAACACGTCTAAAGATAGGACAGGCACCAAAACCTTGAGGATAAGATTGGTAAGATTGTTTGTTCCCTTTAGCTTTGAAAAGGAGGAGCTTTGACTAAGGTCTTGTATTTCAGTCAAGTCCAATAATTAACCCGATTAGTATGTGTCTGCAACTGTGCATAGTTTTTTTTTTTTTTTAAGTTGCTTAAAACCTTTCAAAATTTAATTGCCGGACAATGAAATACTGGCTCGTTAGCAAGCACTACCAGCCACTGTTGCTATGCAGGGTAACCATGCACATGTTAATTTCTGCAGCAACAAGGGGAAACTTATTTTTAAAGGACAGGATTCTTACTTCTGGGCAGGAGGAAACACTGGTGACTGCGCAGCTTCTTGTCTGTGACTAGACCCTCGGTGGCGTTCAGCAGGTATAGGTTTTTCTGGATTAGGAAAATTCTCATATTAGGATTAGAGTGAAAGGACTGTCCTCATCCCAAAACTTAGCAACATCAGCCAAGAAGCACCAAATCTGGTCAGATGTCTTCCCAGGAACATGCTATTGACCAGGATATCATGGGTATCATGGGTCTGGGCACTTGCCAGCCTGCTGATATGTTGTGATAGTAGGGCCAGGAGTCCCCGTCCCCAGCAGTGCTCCGTGGGCACACACTCGCCTCTGTGTTCATCCTCTGGCAATGTCCATGGAGGCTGAACCTATGGGGTCTGGACCTTTAAGTGTACGAGTACAGGTGGGAGCCCAAAGACGAGCAAGTATTAGCCACTCTCCAAGCAACTCACTTTCTACTTCCAGGAGCTGCCACACAGGTGTTAATATTATAGCATCCTGGTGTGTCTTGATCAGTCATAAGATGTGGTATAAGTAATTTGTTACTGATAAGAGGTAAACTATTGAGTTTGTGAATGATCTACTCATTTTGAAAAAAATTATTGGATATAATAATGTTAATCTCACTTGCATTTCACTGTGTTTTCTTGAGCAGAAGAGAAAGGGGTGGAAAATGGGAATAAACCTGAAATGTAAGACATGTATCTAGAAGTCCATAGTGAACTTTAATGTTGAACCATTAATAAATGTGATCACAAATTATTTTAATGCTTTACTTTCCCTCAAATTTGATCTGAGGCTGTGTTAAAATCTTGGTGTGTTCATGAGGAAGTCTCCTGCATGGCAAAAAGCCTGAGAACTGTAGAAACCCAAAAGGAATAAATGTAGTAAGAACTCAGAGATTCAAATCAATGGTAAGGTAGACTTGAGGATTTTTCATGGTACACTAAAGTTTAGAATCTCTGAAGGTTGTAGTTTGAATTTGCAGCAAGTTACTTCAAACAGTTCTGCTAGATATTTTGTTCATGACTTTAAAACTTGGTAATTTCAGAAGGAGAAGCAATGAACACTTTGGATCCTAACAGCCTATGAGCTTTCACCACACCTGTTTTGCCGCTGCCATCCTCCGGACTTCCTTCCTACACAAGAAGAGGCCACTCCCTCGCTTTGGGTTTGGATGGCCATTGCCTCTGCTCTTGCAGTAAGTCACAAAGGAGGTGGCATGCCACGCTCCTGTACCGGGAGCCCTTTGAGAACAAGGACACCTAAGCTGCAGGGAGCATGCCACGAGCCCCTTCTCTCCCGGTTTGTGGAGGCTCCCACAGCCAGGGAGTTTGCACAAGGTTGTACGTACTTCCTACAAGGGCTCAGAGGCTCACTTCCTGCTCCCTGCTCAACAGACATGAGAGACAGCAAGAAAGGAAGGATGGAAAGACAAAAGCATCACAGGAAAGGCAGAAGAAAGCATGATGGCAGAAAAAGAGTGATGCCTCAGAAAGAGCCAGTGGGAAACAGGATGGAAAAAGCCTAGTGGAGCAGTTGAAACAGAGAGGTGAGTTGAAGTGCACAGTGTAGTGGTAGTACTCAGGAAAGCCACTGTCAATCATCAGAGAAATGAGAGCACTTTGTGTAGATCTGCCCATGTGAACTCAGGGAACAGTGAGAACATTCATAACATTTTTAACCTTGGGTGCCTTCAAGTGTGGAATTAGATGGGTGGAGGACGTGAGCTTCTATATGATGTTTTAAGTGTTAATATTATAGATGATTCTTCTGGGGTTTTTCCAATATTTTTAAAATACAATTTTTTTTAAATGAGAAAGTTAAAAAACATATATATGTATATATATAGATATATTAGGCTTTTGAGTGATGATAAAACAAAGGAAGACAAGCATTTGTAGATGTACTAAGAAGACAGACATTTTAACTTTGAAAACTTAGCAAAAGAACTGGTTCATATAAATAGATTTTTTTAAATATCAATACATTAACTAAACTATTAGTTCTAAGATATCTGAATGACTCTAATTTAAATTTTCACATCCATGTAGGACCATGGCATTGTTTCCTGGCAAGTCATACCTGTCTGAAAACAAGCAGGTTTTTGGCATGTAGATGATTATAACCCACTCTAAAGATACTACCCAGTAAGTTCAAGGTCTGAGCTAGTTTTGCTAGTCCCTACTCATTGCAAAGTGAAAGAATATTTTTTTTAGAAAATTGAGTTCTATATTTACAATTGCCTAAAAAGTAATGAAAGAAAATTTAAAATACATTGTATGCAAATCCATAATTAAAATAACTTTTTACAGGACATACTTATCTTTCAAAATAATAGATTTACCTTCACAAACACTTGATGCATTCTGTTGAGAGGCAACTGGAGTCTATGTGAGAAAAACAAACATGGGCAAGAATATTTGATAGAGCAGAATGTGGAAATAAAAAAGTCAGAGCAATATTGTCAAAATAAATATTTTGGGAGAACTTTAATGCATTGCTATTCTTTCAATCACAACAACAATAATTCCAATCACACAACCCTCAGCCCAACATTTGCATTAAGTGACATTCAGGTGGAAGTGTCTCCTGGCGGGGCAGTGGGGACATCCCTGCTCTGTCAGCGGGCTAGTGGCGCTGGCGCTTGCGCAGTGGGCATCTGACCTCTGGCTTTGGTCTCATGGCCCTGCCTTCTGTGTGTTTGCTAAATCACGGTAGGTACCAGGAACAGGCGGGCTTCCTCACATAGTGGGGCTGCCCAGGTTCGCCATGTTTGGGGCAGGATCTAAATTTAGTTGGGCCTATGAGTGCCTGACACTCAGAGGCTTCCCATTGGGAGGGCAGAGGTGGTGGCAGGCAGGGGCCCGGTCGCCCCCTCGGATCTGCTGCGCACACTCTGCAAGGCTGCCAGGGTCAAGGAGGGCCGAGCTCCTCCCAGGCAGCATGTCTCTGGCTACCTGAGGACTGGAAGCGTCTAAGCAGGAACTGTAGTTGCTGAGATTGCTGCGTTCACCAGAGCTGGAAGCATTTTCGACTTTAAATAAGCAGATAAGAATAAACACTCCAGAAAACATGAAGCACTTTTAAATGCAAAATTAACTTACTGTCTTCAGTGGTGTAGCTGGTTTTTTCCTGGGGAATAAAGAGAGATTAGCTTCGTTAAAACACAATGACGGCGACGCAGTGGAGCTGTTTATCATTTTGCTCTCAGATTTAAACCAGAATGACGAAAGTGATACGAGTGTGTAGAAGATGATCCTTGGAGAATGGCGAGGGATGGAAGTGGGATTTAATTATGATCTTCCTAGCCTCGGACAGAGTCCACTGACAGATGGGGAAGGGGTTAGCTGAGGATAAGCAAGAGCCTAGTTGCCAGGGAGTCAGCGGAACTGAGCTCTTGTTGCAGTTCTGCTACTAATTACTCAGCGACCTTGGGCCTCTTTCTCTTGGCTGTGAGGCATGTTTGAGGTATAATTTCCTCACCTGTAAAATGAGGACCAGAGTCAGGGTCTTCACAGTGTGTCTGCCCAGCTCTCCCGTTCCCCAGCAGCGCCCTGGGGCTACTTCCCGGGCACAAAGTAGAGACAAGAGCAGGCCAGCAGGTGAAGCTGTAGCCCCAGCCTTCCCACATCAGCTTCCGCCCTGCGTCCAGGGCACTACTGTCCATGCAACTTCTCCATAAGATTTTATTCAAACAGAAAGATCTGAGACCACAGCAAGTCTGGAAACCATTGATTTGCAGTCCTGAAGGTGCTTGCCTGCAGTAACATCCTGGTTTGTCTTGGTTCCAATAAAGACTGGAATCAATATTGCTGATGTTGCTAAGGCTTTATGTTTCTCATCTGTGTTTACCTTAAATTGTCTGACTTGTTCACTCACTTTGTTTTTGGCTGAGAGCTGAAGTATGGGAGAAGAATCCTAACAGTTATGGAGTGGCTATATGATGCCTGGCACTGGGGTAGGCTCTTCACATGTTATTTAAACCTTATGGTGACCTTTTAAAATATTATTATCCCATTTTAGGGATGAGGAAACTGAGGTTCAGAGAGACTAAGTAACTTACCCGAAGTGATAAAACTGAGCCAAGAGATAAATGTGCAGAGTTTTGGTTAACAAACTCCTGAAATTAAGGCTTTCTTTGGTTCATATAGAGACAGAACTAAGATTATAGCCATGCAGGCCAGCTTTAGATATACTTAAATGTGCTTTTAAAATAACCTATTGAGCCAACATAATTTTATAGAGTCGCTGTTTATAATATTAGCACACTGTAATACCCACATTCCTGTTTACAAAGACTTTTTAAATCAGTAAGAAAGAATAGCTCTCACTTTTTCTTTCTTTTTTTTTGAGACAAGAGTCTCACTCTGTTACCCGGGCTAGAGTGCCATGGCGTCAGCCTAGCTCACAGCAACCTCAAACTCCTGGGCTCAAGCAATCCTCCTGCCTCAGCCTCCCAAGTAGCTGGAACTACAGGCATGAGCTACCATGCCCGGCTATATATATATAGAGAGAGAGAGAGAGAGAGAGAGAGAGAGAGAGAGAGAGAGAGAGAGAGAGAGAGAGAGTTTAGTTGGCTAATTAATTTCTATTTTTAGTAGAGATGGGGTCTCACTCTTGCTTAGGCTGGTCTTGAACTCCTGAGCTCAAATGATCTGCCCACCTCAGCCTCCCAGAGTGCCAGGATTACAGGCATGAGCCACCTCGCCCGGCCTCACTTTTTCTTTTTTGAAACAGGGTCTTGCCCTGTTGCCCAGGCTGGAGTGCAGTGGCATCATCATAGCTCACCGCAGCCTCGAATTCCTGGGCTCAAGTGGTCCTTCTGCCTCAGACTCCTGAGTAGTTGGAACCATTCACACTACCATGCCTGGCTAATTTTTCTAATTTTTGGTAGAGACAGAGTTTCACTATGTTGTCCAGGCTGGTCTTGAACTCTTGGCCTCAAGTGGTCCTTCCATTAGGCCTCCCAAAGTGCTGGGATTACATGTGTGAGCCACCATGCCTGGCCTGACTCTCACTTTTGAAAGAAGCCTGAGCAGGGTGGCTTTGATAGAGCACCCTGGTGTGCACTGCACATGTACATGCATGTGCTTATTTACAGACCATCAACTGTCTGAAAGAGAAGCTGAGGAGTAGAAAGTAAAGATGACACCTGCTAGAAGGTCTCAGAATGACTCAGGTGCTGGAGCTTCTGATAGTCAGGTGCCTTGTGGAACATGGTATTTCAATGAACTCAGGATTTAACTAAAACTTTAGGGAGGGAAGACTCCCGGTTTTCAACATCATCAGGGCCCCACCCCGGCCTCCGGTCCAACCTGCAGCCTGCCATGGGGTGAAGGAGGACTTTAGTGAAAGTCAACAGGGCAGGGGGGTCTCACCCCAGCCCCCCAGATCTCGCAGAGCTGCTTCCTACAACAGGCACTCACCTGGCCCTCGGCAGTGGGGATGGTGCAGCAGGTGAAGATGACTTGGTTTCCCAGGCCCCGCTGTTTCGACCTGTGCAAACATACACATGAGTCAGTCCCCAACTCCTGAAACTGGTCACAGTGAGGCTGGGCATTCTGACAGGCTCAGAATTACATGCGCATTTGTGTTGCTTTCAGTTAAGTGTGTATAGGTAGTTACATTGAAGCTATGAGGGAAAACCTGTGGGCAAAGGTGATGACACCTTTTAAAAATGTCAATGAATAAGCTCAGAAGTGGGAAGTGGAGTAGGGACTCCACCTTAACATTTCTAAAGGACCTTCTCCCCACCACCGTGGGTCCTGATTCTGAGGGCTCAGCTGGAGTCCAACAAGGGTTCCTTTGGTGGGGAGCCAAGAGCTCGCATCTGTGCACACTGCATGCACTATGTGCACAGCAGCGGGGCCTGGGGACAGAGCGGCTCCAAAGGGCCACTCCTGACTCACAGCTACGGACGCTGCTCCTTCATAACCACACTTCAATACAGTTCACACACCTAACTTCACAGTTAGGGGATTTCACTCATTCATCTCCTAGTTCCCAGGGCCTTAGCCCAGCACACAGATGGACAGATTGGGACAAGTGGCAGGCTACTGCCCAGAGCTCATCTTCTGAAGTGATAGGGGGACCCAGAGGGCTTTGTCCCCTGCACCCAACTTCCCCTCCCATATCTGAAGGTGGAAGCCAGACAATCAGTATGCGGGAGGCAGTGAGAGAGGCAGGATGGATCTTCCTCCCCCACTCCCAACCACCCCACCCCCACTGGGACAGAGGGCAGGTGAGGGTGGGGAGCCAGAGCCAAGCCATCCCCTCAGCATCTCCTGGCTGCCTGCTATCTCCAGTGAAGCTCTAAAGCTCTGACTTATGTGGTACCTGGATGTGATTTTTTAAAACATTTTGGAAAATAGACTACTTTTGGAATTTTTGCATTTCATGTGACAATCAACTGAAATGTCATCTGGATATGTGGTGTGAGTCCAACTGTGTTTAATTAGCTGGCGTATCAAATTGAACACTAAGATTAACGTGTTAAAATGCCCTTGGCTACTCATAGACTTTAATGGAAGATTTCAGGGAAGGGGAAAAAAATCTTGTCTGAAAAATAAGAAAGTAGAAAGAAGGTCTAAGTCTGAATTTACTCCCAGGGGTTTTCCCTCTTCTTAAACACCAAGAGTTCAACTGACCTTGGTATGTTATCGTTGTCAGACCTACTGCCTGGCTTTCCTACTAAGCTTCCCTTTCCTTCATATCTCCGAACAGTCTGAAAATGTCTTCCTTTCTTCCTTTTCCCTCCCAATAAATCATTTCCGGAGATCAGAGGAGAGTACAAGCACTGGGAGAAAGCCTGTGGTCTTGCATCAGAAGATAGAATTCTAGTTATTTTTCTGCCACCAAACTGGCCACTGTGCCTTCATTTCCTCCTTGGTGAAATGGAGACACCACCACCTAATTTAGAGTTATTGTGATATAATAACAGGGTAACTTCATACAATTTAAAGAATTGACCATATATAAAACAATATTGCTGGAAAGGGATTAAAAGTATTTGAGGGTTAAAAACATTAGGCTAAGTGAAAGGAGTGGGATGCAAAAGACCATATATCACGTGATTCCACCCATATGAAACGTCTAGATAAGGCAAATCTATAGCAATAGGAAACAGATCGGCGGTTGCCTGGGGCTAGGGGTGGGAATAGCATTGCCTATAAATGGGCATAAGAGATCTTTTGGGGTTGGGTGGGCATGGAAATTTTCTAAAACTGGATTGTGATGCTTACATAATGCATTACTATAAATGTGATGGTTTGCAAAAATCACTGAATTGTACAAATAAGATGGGTGAGTTTTATGATATGTAAATTATGACTCATATAGGATCTCCATAAGTATGATTATTATTGTCTTGTTATCAACCACCACAGTATCTCCAGGTGCTGAGCACTGTATCGGGTACATACCTTAAATGTGCCATCTCTGAGTGTCAAATAACATCAAGTGGAGCCAACTGAGGCTCTGGACAGATCACATGGCAGGGCTGGGTTTTAAGACTATTTGAGTTTAAAGCCCAGGAAGGCACTTTCCCCTCTAGCCACCATCTCATAATGTTACTTTGGGGCATGATTTGGCATGTCAGATTCACTTGCTGCTACTTCTGCCTTATGTGAGAAAAGATAAGCAAAACAGAGGACCATTTTCATGGATGCCCACAGGAGGTTGGAGAATGACCCTCCTGCTGCTCTGGGACTGAAGCCAGACCCAGGGCTGGGTAGGGGAAGACAAGCCCAGCAGGAGCACACCTCATACCCTCCTCACGGCCAGGACCCTTGCTTTCTGGAAAAGATGAATTCTTGGTTGGAATACTCCCATGGAGAAAACAGAATGCAATGGAGGGAGACATGTCCAAAAGCATAAAGTAAACAAGAAAAATCAGCTTCGTTTTAATTGCACTGAGCAAGAAACTTAATAGTGTTTGGTTTAACAGTGTGGGCCTTGTGCTAGCTGGTGCTTATCAAAATTTCTCAACTCGGAAAACAATTTACCCTTGGTTTTTCCTCCTCCCACATACATTTTATGCATCACCCTCTTTTCAGTTCCACATATAATATGTTGGTAAGTTTCATTATTCATATTCTCCATGTCAGCATTGTAAGCCCCTGGGATTCGACTCTCTTTGAGCTGTCACAGGAACTCTACATCATTAGTGTCTGCAGCGTCCCTACTCTCAGGCACTGCGCACACTCCACCAAGCAAAGAGATTTCAGTCCACAACTCCAGAACCAATTTTGCCGAAATCCAGCTTGCATATCTATAGAGAATCGTACATTTCAAAGTCTCTTTCCCTTCCCCCCCCTTTTTTTAGGAAATAAGGAAATAGAATACTTTTTAAAAAAAGATATTTACTTAAGGAAACTCAGAAATACATGCCCTATCTACCTTCTGACAAAAGCTACCAATCAGCCAGAGATTACACCATCCTCTTCAAATTCTCATTTAGAGAGAAATCACAATGGGGTTGAAACCTTCCGTTTGTTTAGACCAGAGGTTCTCAGCTGGGGATGACTTGCTCCCCCACCCAGGGACATTTGGCCGTGTCTGGAGATATTTTTGCACATCACAGCTGGGTAGGTGCCAGGGAAACTGCCAAACATCCTACAACGCACAGGACAGCTCCCACGGGAAAGAATTATCTGGCCCCAAATGTTAACAGTGCCAAGGTTGCGAAGCCCTGCTATAGAATAAAACTTTACAACAAAAGGAAGAAACAAAATTGTTCCCCGAGAGTGTTTGCCAGAATGGTCATGGATCGGTGCAGGTTAAAATAAGGGATGCTGCCTAGGAACAACATTAACAAAGTTACCATTTTATGAGCGATTTATCTACATTTACTCATTAATTCGCACATTACCCCAGGCATAGGTGCCATTTGCCCCAGTTTTCAGGGGAAGAACCTGAGAAACAGAGGGACACTTGCTCAAAGCCGACACCCAGCAAGTATTGGAGCCAGGACCTAAACCCTCTGGCTTTGGAGTTTGGGCAAAGTTCCTGCCACCGACTTGTCAGTATGACACACAAGGGGAGGGCGGAGGCTGCCATTGGACCAGATTTACTAGGTCATCCTTGGCAAGCACCTTATTGGCTACCAAAGAGCTAAGAGCAACATTAACCAGAGGCAATTGATGTGGTGTGACACTTTGACAGAAACACCAACCAGCACTGTTGGCACTGTTGTGATGCCCATCAGGGGACTATCTGAAGGAGAATGGAGATGGTTACTCAAAGACACAGGCAAGTAGTCTGATCATTCCTTTTATAACATTCGTTCTGAAAATTCTGCTGTTTGCACACTCAGAAACTCCCTGACTGTTCAGGCTTGTGCCTCCCAACTCATTTCACTTCCTCCTCCTTCCTGTAGTTCCTCCCACCTGTATCCAACAATCATGTAACCAGGACGCTTTTTTCTTGTTTGGATTTGGTTTCTTCATCTGATGCCTATAGTATTAAAATATAGCTCCATGAGGTTAATGACAAGCTAATGAGCCAGGTTCTCAGCTAGGGCCTGGATGCTGTGAGCAAAACATGGAGCTGAGGGTCTTACAGGAAAGACAGAAATCTGGGAGGTGGTGGTGGGGAGTTGGGGCTAAAGGGCATGCGCAGGGCACTGTAGGAGTGCACGCCATGTGGATCTAGCCCAATGTGGGGCCAGGCAAGGCCTCCTGAGCAAGTGACATTGAAGGCAAGGTCTACAAGGAGCTCACAATGTCCTGGGGGAAATTAGACAGAGACACAAAGTAATCGGGGGATAGGTACCGGCTGCATGTGAGTGGGAAGAGCTCTCTGAGGGCTATGGAAACCAGGAGAAACTTCCTGGAGGTGGAGGCCTCAAGTTGGGCCTTCAAGGATTAAAATATAGCTATACTAGGTTAATAACAAGCCAATGAGTAATATATCCAGTGGCTAATGCCCTCATGATTCTTTAAATACAACCAATGTTTGGGGATTTGCTCACCCTCTCCAGCAACAACCCGCCCATACTCTCAGCACCTCCTCTGACAAGGATTATCTTGCTCATCTCTGGAAGGGGGTGTGGAGGATGGGGGGAGAAGTGGGGAGGGAGAGAGAATAGGAGGATGCACGTGGGAATGCTAAAGAGGAAGCTCCTACACCCCTCTGTGCTGTTCATGCAGTGGAGTGTGGGCATTTGGCTCAGCCTTAGGGATTGCCAAAGCCTACTTTGGCAACTAGGAACCACTGGGCATTCGTGGTTTGGGTAGGGGTGACGTGGTGAGAACTAGCTTTCTAGTGGGATGAAACTGGCAACATCTGGAAGAGTTCCTTGCTGAGGAGAGAGCTGAGAGGCAGAGGTGTGGCTAGTGGACTACTGCAGGCAAGAAAGGGTTGGGCTATTGAGTGACGAAAGGCTGGACTAGGTTGGTGGCAGCTAAAATGGAAGAGCGAATTTGGAGGCTTTGGAGAGAACACAGGTACTCTGAGGCGTGTAGCTGGAGGCTGGCGCCAGTACACAGAGGAATAAGGGCAGGCGGCGGGAGGGAGCGGCTGAGCTTGAGGCAGTGGGAGTGCCGGGGTGTTCAGAAGGGAAATCAGGTCAAGGTGAACACCAGGGAGTCACCAGTGTAGACATGAGAAGTGAAGCCAGAATAATGGATGAAACCTAAGGACATGAACAATAATTCTCTCTCCTGAGCACTTAGCATGTGCCAGGCACTGCATGAACACTTTCTCATTTGCAATTGCCGAATCCTCCTGTCACCATGGGGCAGGGACTATTATCTCCATTTACAGATGAGAAAATCGGAGGCTTGGAGAGGTGAAGTACGAGCCCAGGGTGGAACAGTCTGTAACTGCAAGTGCTGGCATTCCAACCCGCATCTGTCTGCCTCAAAACGCAAGCTCACAACCACCATGATATCCTGACAGAAGAGCTGAGGGCTGAAGGCTGAGCCCTGGGGACATCCTCAGTCAGGGGAGAGGACACAGAGAAGCTGGCAAGGTGCCCGTGAGGTAGGATGAAAACCAGGACTTGTCTAACAGAGGCCAAAGGGCCTGGGGGGGAGGGTCCCTTCAACATAAGTGCCACGAGGCAAGGACGAGGATAGGCCTTCTGTTCCCATTCATTAAAAATTTGGAAATACAAGTGATTATTTCTTCATATTTTATCTGAGTTATTTATCTTATTTGGAATAGACTTAAAACCAATCCAAATCACACATACACTTTACCTGAAACCGTTCCTGGAGGAGAGGCTGGCTTTGAGGAGTTATTCGGCTTGATTGATCTATTCACCACGGGAGCTAAAACACACAAATACATATATATATGTGTGTGTGTATATGTGTAATAGTTACCAATACATTCTATGAGAGAAATTCACATAGGGGAAAATGACCAGATTGGAGAATTTACAAAGAATGGGAGATAACTTTATCAAACATACAAGCCAATGAGAGAAGCCTTCTCAGGAGAAACATCTTTAGAATGAAAATATTAATGGTTAAAAAAATAAATTATTTTATGATAGGGATTTTGTTAAAGTGAATATTTGCCAAACTGGAGGTCTAGAAGATAAGAGTGTTTTTTGTTTGTTTGTTTTTGCTTTTTATCCCAAGTATATTAAATCCAATAGTGGAGGGGCCAAAGTCATAACCCCATCTCTCCTGCCACGTGCAATACACACAATAGCTCTCAGATTTCATGGGTTTGGAGTGAGGGAGGAGGAAATATGTGTTTGTTGTTTCATAGTAATGGATGGCTTGGGAATTTAGGTGAGTCTGGAAGCTGTTGGTGGTATTTAGGGAGTAGGGGAGAGGGTTGGTACAAGACAGCAGAGTAAAAACTGAGTACTGCTACTTTGGAGTTGAGTGTTATTAGATGAGGCATCACCTGTTTGGAATTTTATTCTCCATAGTGACTATATCCAGAGTAAATGGGTGCTGTTCTGTGCCTGATATGAGTGTATGTGGCACTGGTTTTTTAAATAATTCATTTGTACTATCATTTGTTATCCCATGAAAGGTTTACAAAAAAAAAAAAATGTTTCTCATAGGCCTGATGTACCACTAAATATAAAGAACCAGGATGCAGAGCATATTTTACTCTTTCACTTTTTCTGCAGAAATTGTTTCTGGTGCAATATTTACAAGGCCAACATTGTAGCTTGTGGTGTTATGAGGAAACCATTCTAAGTGAGGTTAGCTGAGGATAACAACCCAGGTGCTTTCATGATTTGAGATGGGAGGATTAAATCATGGAGCAGGGAGGAAGGGGGGCGGGCTATGAAGCACAGGTGGTCGCTCACTGATGAGCTCTGCCACACCAGCCAAAGAAGCACATGCTGTATCCAGGGAGGAGACAGGCCTGGGCACTGTCATTTTTGAGCCCTTTAGTGCTTACTACTGAATAGTCCTGTATGTCCTGATCAACTACTAGAAGTTTTCAAGTCCTTAAAACTACAAACTCTTGGCCAGGCGTGGTGGCTCATGCTTGTAATCCTAGCATTTTGGGAGGCTGAGGCAGGAGGATTGCTTGAGCCCAGAAGTTTGAGGTTGCAGTGAGCTAGGATGATGCCACTGCACTCTAGCCTGGGCAACAGGGCAAGACCCTGTCTTAATACAAAATGAAACAACAAAGCCTACAGACTCTTACCTTTTTCAGATGGAGGTGAACTGCTTTCTGTGGGATGAATATAGTTTTCATCGTTATCTTCCACAGGAACCACATAATCAGCCTAACAGAAATGTAGAAATGAATGAGGAGAATGTTCTACATATACAGTTGATGGTATGGGAGGGATGTTTTTTAAGAAAGCTTTTTTGAGATATAATTCACATATCATTAAATTTTACTATGTAAAATGTACAATTTGGTATTTTTTAATGTATTCACAGAGTTGTGCAACCATTGCCAACATCCAATCTTAGAATATTTTTATTACCCTAAAAAGGAACCTTGCACCCATTAGTCATTTTCCATCCACCCCCTCCCCTGACTTAGTCAACCATGAATCTACTTTCTGTCTCTACATATTTGCCCATTCTGGCATTGCATATAAATGAAATCATATAATTTGTAGTCTTTTGTGACTTATTTCACTAAGCATAATATTTTCAAGGTTCTTCTGTGTTGGAGTATGTACCATGATTCCTTCTTTTTTGTGGCCAAATAATAGTCCATTGTATGAATATACCACATTTTGTTTATCCATTCATCAATTGATGGGCATTTGGGTTTCTTCACTTTTTTGGCTATTATGAATAAGGCTGCTATGACCATTCATGTACAAGTTTTTATGTAGACATACATTTCTCTTGGGAACATACCAAGAGAAATTTTTGGGTCATATGGTAGCTCTATATCTAACAGTTTGAAGAACTGCCAAACTGTTTTCCAAAGTGGCTGCACCATTCTTCATTACCACCAGCAATGTATGAAGGTTCCAATTTCTCCACATATTCACCAATATTTGTTACTGTCCAGCTTTTTTATTATAGCTATACTCAGGGGTGTGAAGTAGTATCTCATTATAGATTTGATTTGCATTTCCCTGATGATTAATGATGTTGAGCATCTTTTCATGTGCTTATTGGCCATTTACATATATTCTTTGGAGAAACGTCTATTAAAATCTCTGCTCATTCTTTTCTTTTTTTACACTCAGTTCTCTACATCTCAATCTGCCCATTTTTAATTGAGTTGTTTATATTTTTATTATCATAAAAGGTCTTCATATGTTCTAGATATAAGTCCCTTATCAGATATATGATTTGCAAAAATTTTCTCCCATTCTGTAAATTGTCTTTTTACTTCCTTCATGGTATGATCTGCAGCATGAAAGTTTTTAAATTTAAAAATCTTCTTTATTTATTTTTTCTTTTATTCCTTGTGCTTTTGGTGTCATGTCTAAGAACCTATTGCCTAACCCAAGGCCATAAAGATTATATTTTCTTTTAAGAGTTTTATAGCTTTGGGTCTAACATTTAAGTTCTATGATCTATTTTTAGTTAATTTTTGTGTATGGTGTGAGATAGGGGTCCAATTTCATTCTTTTACACATGGATATGCAGTTTTCCCAGCTCTATTTGCTTTTTAAAAAAACTATTCTTTCTCCATTGAATTGTCTTAGCATTTTTGCCAATAATCAATTGACTATAAATAAAGGAAGGGAGTGATTTTATATCAATAAGATACAAATGAGATAACCAGATCTCAAAAGTGGTTTTTACAACCTTCCCTGCTGGGTAGCTAAGTAGGGTATTGGGAGAAACAAAAAACATTTACTTCCAGGTGCTCTTCTAAGTTTAATCCTTCTAACAACCCAATAAGGGAGGCACCAGCATCAGATCCATTTCAAGATGAAGAAACAGAGGCACAGAGAAATTAAGTAGCTAGCTCAAGGTCTCACAGTTAAAAAGTGGTAGATCCAGGATATGAACACAGGCTGTTCAAGAATTCAGCACCCATACACTTATCCATTACATTCTAGTGCCTCCCATCCTTCTCCTCCTCTTTCTGTCTTTTCTACCCTCTCTTCATTTAATTGCTATTTCTCTTCTCTTTCTTCACCTCCAAACCTGGGAAGGGGCACAGTTGATTCTACTCATACATCTCAATTCTGCAGTCATATTTAGAGAAGATCTGGCTGAAGGAGGTGAGGCTTTGGAATCAGACAGACCTGGAGGAAATCCTTGCCTGGTTCTTTTCTAGTTGTATTACCAGGTGAGAGGAGTAAATTGCTGAATCATCAGAAGTCTTCCTAGACACTGCCAATCAGAGGTGAGCACCTGCTCTTCTGTGGCACACGGAGCCTGGTCCTCACTTCCGTTATATTGCTGGCCTTGTGGTGTCAGACTGTGAACACCTGAAGGACAGGGCCTCCTCCTTATCTGCATTTGTGATCCCAATGCCTGGGCAGTCAAGCCTCATAGAATTGGATAGAAATTGACTAACCCAATAGCCAAGGCAGAGATGAGGCTGACTACAAGACCCTTTTGGTTCCATGGGTCCTTCTCTCTGGATTAGCTAGTAGTCAGAGTGACACATCAGAGCCCGGCCTCTCTTCTGGGGACTAGTTCCTGTGAAAGGAGGGGCTGAGCACCCAGGAGGAGTGCCCACCTTCTCAAAGCCTAGCCCCCAAACTCAAGTATCTTATATCCCAACACAGACCCTTGGCTTAGCCTGTACCTCGATATTTTGCCTATAACCAGTAGAACAGAGCTAAAGATCTTTATTTATGCTTGTACTTCACTTCTTTTCTCATCTAATGGTTCAGCCACGTCTTAACATTGGCTTCTGGTTTTTGTTTTATTTTTTATTGTTGTCGTTTGTATCGAAACCTCTTTCTTTTCTTGACTCTGCATCTGCCCATTCCAGAATGCAGCCTCCTCCACACTGCTTTTCCGACTGGTGCAGGCCTGCCTCAGCCATGGCCACCAGGCTGCTATTAGCAAACTCTGCCTCACCTCACTGGGGTCCACTCTCAGTTATTTGCAGAAATGGAGACAAATGCATAACCCACAGTATGCATATGCATTCTGTGTCTGAATTTATATCTTCATATGGATTTGCCAATGTGGAAAGAATTTACAGTGAGACCCTAAGAGCTGATCTCCCTGTCCTGTCCCCAGCTCAGCTTCTCCCTGCCACCCTATTCCCATCCTGGAAAGACAGCAATACCGCTCAGACTGACAGACAGACTGAGGCTGACAAACCACACTTTTCTCCAAGTCTGCTGATTTTCTGAGTTACACTGGGGTCATAAACTAAAATGCGTACAAGGGCAGGCAGGTGACTGGAATCCTACAGGAAGCCAATGATGCAACACAAAGGCCAATCCCAGGATGGGGAACACACCAGGTGATTCCTATGCAGGGTGAGGCTGTGTGTGCACGTGTCTCATGAGTGGGGGACACCATGCCAAATGGGACCAGGGATCACAGCTGAGCTAGAAGGGCCACAATACTCAGTGGCTTTTAGGCCACAGTTGGCCCAGTGTTGCCAGGTCTTCAATTTTCAGAAGAAACTAGAAAATTGGACTTTATAAGGAATTTAGAATATGGTAGAATGAAATCCAACATATATTAAGCCTGTTGCGTGTCAGACACTGCATCTAGTGCTGTATATTTGTTCTCTTACTAACTTCTCAACATAACTGGAAGAGGTATAAAACAGACTCAGAGAAGTTGTCTGGTTTGCTCAGTCACACAACTAGAAGGGTCAAAGTAGGAACTTGGGCCTGGACACTGCTTATGCTGACTCTATTTTGATGTAAAAGTTCTTCTTTTCCATCTCCTGCCAGGCTACAAATTGCATTAAGGTGGAATGAAGGTTGCTGCACAACGTGTATGAAAGCCATAGATTTTATCATCTACAGGCATTTAGCAACAAGTTATTTTGTAGAGAAGCTGCAATAAGATTATGCCTGGTGATGGTTGGGAGTTGTCTTTAATGTTGTTTTGTTTCTCAGACTGTTACCCTTGGAGCGTGCTAATGGGTATTCCTGTGGGCTGGTCTGTCTTCTTAACATGCAGGTACCTCTGGCAGCCAGGACACGAGGGGCTTTATCAGTCATTACTACCACAGTTTGATGAGTCCAGCTGTTTATTTTCGAGAGGGAGCAATTCCATAGGGAGTAAAAGCTAGGTGCTGACAGAGGGGAAACGGATGAGAGCAACCCAGAGTGGGTCCCAGGCAACCTGGGAAGGTGGGTCTCTGGATACCTGGGGAACGGGGAAAGGCAGAGGGAAGCAAGAGCTCCCCTCCAGGATATGCAGGGTCTCCCTACAGGCTGGCCGCCTTCCTCTCACGTCCCACGTCACCGTATGCATCTGAGTGGAGTGGAGGAGCGCAGAGAAAAGAAGGTGAAGGAAAGACAGAGGGGCACAGGGCAGGGAAGGGAGAATGAAGACAAGGGACAGAAGATCCTATGCAGGAGAGAGAAGAGTCACCAGAGGCTCAGGGAAGAGATGAGGGGTAATGTGAGGGCACAGAGTCAGCTCTGACAGCATGCCATACACCCTAGTGAATTTGACGCTTACAATGGGGTCACACGTGCCATTTTTAGGGAAGGCAAAGTCGTTTCGGGATCTCAGTGGAGAGCTAGAGGAGAGCAGTTGAGGAGTGGGGCATGGAAGAAGGAAGACTGGCCATCGGCCAGACTGTCCTGGCCACCTCCCCGTGACTCCTCTGTGTCGTGGGAAGCCTTCGAGACAGATTTACGTTACCTCGTCTTCAGGGAGGCCTTTGGGCTTGGGCGGGACTTGAGGTTTCTGCAGAGAAGGGGGGGCCGGCAGGGTGGAGATGAGCCTTGCTTTGGCTGAAGGCCAGCTGGGCTTGCTGGGAAGCGTCTTGCTGAAGGGTGGAGACTGTCTCTGGCTTGATCGGTTGTCTTGAAAGAAAGAAACAAACAAACAAAAACACAACATAAGCGAGGCTCCGCATTATTCCCTGGTGGAAGCCATCGAGGTCTAGAAAGTATAAAACCTGGGCATCTACGTAGACGCAAATGATCAATCAGAGCATTCCTTAAACAATAAAGTGAAACGTTAGGCAAAAATTTCAGCTGCCCAGAGAAATGTCCTCATCAGAAGCATCCTCCCAAAGGAACTTGTATCACCTACACCACGGGTTGGAGGGCTAGGGAACATCAAGTCTACCCAGCCTACTCTGTGGGCCAAGCAGAGATTCAAACTGATGCATTTTAGGAACATCCTAGCATAGGCAACACCTGGTGTGTTCCCCGTCCTGGGACGGGCCTTTGTGTTGCATCGTTGGCTTCCTGCTGCTTCCTCCTGTGACAGCCCACGCTCACCCGGTGCAGCTGCCCCTGCCTGCCAGGCCCAGACTCCACTCTCTTCTGCGGTGCCTGCTTCTGCCCTTGGCCCTCACATCTTCCTCGCTGAAGGTGTGAGGTTAACTTCCCAGTGGCCGCCTCCATGGAAGCTTTCTTCTCTTTCTCTTGGTGTAGCTGTGTGCAGACACTAGGGCATCCACTGTGCCATGCCTGTAACTCTGTCAGTGTCATTTGCAGCTCTTGGAGTTTACTTAGATTTACTAATGTAACATTTAAGTCCATCAGAAGCAGCAAAACATAGAAGAGAGGCTTTAAAGGGTGTGCCCTGAACGAGCTACTTAACCACCCTGAGCATCGGTGTCCTGGTCTATAAAATGGAACTACCACAGCCCCTTCCTCCCCAGGGTTGTTGCAGTGATTGAACAAGGTTGTTCGCTGAGGACAGTGGGCAGTGGAGCAGAGTGAGGAAGGCCAGGCTGCAGAGGCTGAGAGGCCGGCTGGCGTCCCAGCTCTGCCCCAGAGAACCTGGGCTAGGATAGTTCACTTGTTTGAGCCTCTCTTCCTTCCACTGTCAAGTGGGGGTGAGTCCTGTCTTCTCAGGATTATCAAGAGGGTTAACCACTTCGGTACCGCGCTCACCAGCCACAAAACCTTGCCCACAGCCAGCACGCATAGTCCGCACGATAGTTTGTGCTGTGCATTGACGATGAATCTGTTTTGTTCTTGTGTGATGAGGAAAGCTTCAAAGCACTGAAAGCTTGCTTTACTTTACAGGCAGCTTTACTTGTAATGTAAATCAGAATAGGTAACATATACATATATGTTTTCATTGCGTTATTTTTAAATGTTCACAATTTTATTTTGATAAATGAAAAATTAGAAAAGTCATATCATGGCTGTCGGCTAAAGTTGATGCTCAGCTGTGCGCCTTCATATCACGGCTGTCAGCTAAAGTCACTGTGCGCGTTCATCTGTGGCTGTCGACTATAGTTGACGCTGGTACCGAAGTGGTTAAGTAGGCCACCAGGCTAAACTGTAAGCTGGGAGCCTGTCCCTCTTGCTTGTGGCTGAATGCTCAGTGCTATGCTAGTTCTGGCACCTAGTAGGTGCTCAACAGATTGGAACGAAGCAAGGAGCAGCACGTGGTGCCCTGTAAGGAGGCAGCTAATGACAGTGGCCTGTATGTGTAGGAAGGCTCTGTACAAACGCCAGCATCCCTGTGACCATCATGAACATACTTGCTCTCCAAGCCTTTAGGGAACTTAGATACCTGGCAAGACTGGGAACACAGACTTCTTGACTGATGTTAAAATGCACGCTCAGCCCTCAAGGTCAGACCCAAGCTGTGTCCATTCAACCCATGAGGCTAATTCCAGGCTTAGAGTGTCTCATGTGAAAACCCACAGTCTAGACTCAGGGGCTGTCTGTAGGAGTAGAGAGGAGGAGGGGGAGACTCTGGAATCCTTGAAGGTCATTGTAGTTCTGTATGGACTTCTTAAAAGAAATTCCAGAACTGTGAGTTTAGGGAGCCCTAAGAGAAGTGGGGCCAGTCTCAGGGGTGATTTCCCATGGATCTATAGAAGGCGGGGACAACCATTAGGGTGTGCTCGTTTGATTGATTGACTGATTTTTGCCTGTGTTCAATGTTCCCGATCCAGGAGAGATTCCTTTCCCCCTGGAGTGGGAAAGCCCTACAGCTTGGGCTCCATTGCCTGTGAGTGCCCAGATCACCTGCTTGGAGGTGGCCAAAGCGGGAGGTGGGGAGCCCAGGTCTGGGGGTGGCCTCACCTACGTACTCGCCCCTGGCGAAGGGCAGGGCTGGGTGGACCGTCCTGGTCTCCTGCTCGGCAGGGGGTGGCTCATAGCTGTCGTCGGCGTTCTCCTCGGCGGGCATCACATACATCTCCGAGTCCGAGTGCTCGTCTGGATTTTCGTAGTCGCTGTCCTGCAAATGCAGACACCACGCTCAGCACCCCTGCCTGCGCCGCCTGGTGGCCCGGACGCCTCCTGCCTTAGGCGGTCGCAGCTGTTCCCCCAGTGCAGTGACTGGGAAGCCGAGGCTTGGAGGGGTTGCACAAGGAGAGTTAGCGGGAGGCAAAGCTGGGGTTTGACGTCTGCCTTCGAAGCTTAGCCCCTTGACCCCTGCGCCGTCCTGGGGAACATGTGGACTTCTGAACCCTAACGGGGGCTGACAGTCTGTCGACAAAAATAACAGTAGGAGATAAAACATTTTTAAGACAGAAAAAAGACCTAATAAAATAGAATAACCGGTAGCTTTTACACACCATGAGTGCTGATGGTTGAGGGAGAGTAGTTTACTATGGAGAGGGTGACGGGAGGCACTGAGGACACCTTGATGTCTTTGAGGAGGTGAGTTGTTTTTTAAAAGCAGAATTGGTAAGCTGCAGGGTCTGGGCTCTCAACACACTCAATTCTCTTTTTTTGTAAATGTAAGTTTTATTTAAATCCACGTTGAAAATACATTAATACGGCCTAAAGTCCGAATAGCTCAGAAGGATGTGAGTAAGGTGAGGTCTCCCCCCCAGCCTCAGAGGCAAACAGAGTTGCTAGCTTGTTGTGCACGTTTTCCAGAGATAGTTTATGCATATGCTGTGTGTACACGATATGGACACGTGACATATGTCCCAGGACATATGTGCACCCACCGCCCCCACAAACTGCCACCCTGCACGGTCCATACGTGACTTTCCAATGAATGGATGGGGCACCTGCTTTTTGGCCTGTCTCCTTTCACGTGCAATTTCATAGCAGGATTCTATCAAGCAGGCCTGGGGGCTGTAGCAACAAGCCTGGATTTCATTCTGTGTGCAGTTGGGGTCCGCTGAAGTGAAAATAATTGTGAGCGGATGTTCACTAAATCGTTATGACAGCTGGTATCTTAACGTTTGTTGTTTGACTTTGGGGCAAGACATTCCCTCCTCTCCAGGCTGATTTAATTTTGTGTTTGCTAAGTCCCCACTGTGTGCTCTTTTAATCCAGCCAGAGATTGCCTCTCTTTCCTCTGGACATGGACCAACCAGCTTCTTTCCTTAGCTTCAGAGGAGGGGGTGTGTGTGTGTGTGTGTGTGTGTGTGTGTGTGTGTGTGTGTGTGTGTGTGTGTGTGTGTGCATACAGCCAGCAGGGGGCGCAGCTGTAGCGATTCTGGGGGATCAGCTGCTGCTGGGCCCCGGGAGGAACTCCATGCTGAGTGATTGGCAGAGAACTCAGCCCTTCCCCTCATTTTCTTCTTCTTTTTCTGCTGCTGGAGAAGGAGGAACTCCTATCTCCTACCACTGTCTGTAAACTCCAGGAAGTGTATGCAGCCTGGAGCTGGACACTAGACTGGACGTCTGAGTCCTGGGTTCTCATTCCACAGGCGCCTGAGTAACTGAGTGAGGGCAGGCAAGTCTTTTTCATTCTCTTGGCCTCAGTTTCCTTATCTGTGAAATGGGTTTGTGCTTGTGTGGAAGCCTTCTTGGATCCCTTCCAGATATAAAACTGACAGATTGGAATAGGCTAGCATTCTGGATGGAATTGATATAAGTGAGGAATAATTATTGTTAAGAGAAGTTTTTAGGATGTCTTGTCTGTACAAGACAGCCCAAAGGAGAAGTGGGTAGAGGGGCCCTGCAGACTGCAGAGACACTCTGAAGAGGTTAATTCTGATTCACCACCCGGCATCGTCATGGCCAGGTCTCTCACTCTCTCTCACTCGGTGGCCCCAGAGCTCTGCCAATGTTCTCCTGGTCACAGCAAGCACCATGGTGTCAAAGAGCCTTGGTCTGAGATCTGAGGGTCTGGGTTTAAATTTTGCAACTGCAAGTTACTTAAACTTTCTAGGCATGGACTCTTTGGCAGTGGATTTGTTTAGGGCTCCTGGCCAGGGCTGAGGGGATGCTGGGGAGTTGAGGACAGAGGCATTTGCCAACTGATACAGCAACAGTGGACCATTTTAGCATCTGTTTGTCCGTGCGGGTGAGTGTGCTGAACACCAGCACTGAGAATGGGGATGAGGATGCCCGCTCCATAGGGCCATGGGGAGGACTAAATGGGGCCACGCGTGTGCTGTTAGCCTGGCATGTGGCGAGAGCTGGGCAAGTCGGCCAGTGTGAGGCTACTGGGGCCTTCTCTGTGGGTGGCCTTCCCTGTCCTCCCTCTGTGATGTGCAGCTGACCACCAGTGTGTACTTCAGAAATAAGCCCTTAAAATACCTCCCAGGGGCCTGGTGCCCTCCTGGTTTCAGGAGCAAGTACTTACAAAGTCATCCGACCACTGCTCCTCTTCGTCCTCGGGGCTCTCTGAAATGGCACGTGGGAGACAGAATGAATCTCAGCCAGCCAGCTGCACTCTGCCCACAAACAGCCCACACCCGCCTCCCCTTCAAGCATGTTCATTTGCTTTCAACTCTGTTTTTTAAAAAATTAACTCTCAAAACGTAAAGAGAAGTCCTACTGGGCAGAGCAATGGTGCATCTTGACACTGTCTGTCTTTGTTCAGTGACATTTCTGGGTCCCCCAAAAGGGACCTTCAATTTGTACTGTGTGGCTTTTAAGGACTTCTTTATTTATTTTTATCAAGACATAATAGCTGTACATATTTTTATGGTACACGTGATAATTTGGTACATTCATATAATCAAATCAGGGTAACTGGGATATCCATCACCTTAAATATTTATCTTTTCTAAGGACTTCTTTGAATCGATCTGTGGATGATGTAGCAGGAAGAGCACTGCACAGGGAGTCAGGTAGACTTAAAGTCTCATCTGGTTCTGTTCCCAACTAATCGGAGAGGGTGGGCAAGACACCTAACATCTCTGTCTCAGTTTCCAGATCTATAAAATGAGGGGGTAACTTCTATGATTTTCTTTGTCTCTAACTTTGACTTTTTTATGTTTAAAAAAAAATGTATCCAGTGGTTTACTATGTGCCAGGCAATATTGTCAGAGCTTTGCCCTCATTTGGCCCTCACAAAAACCTTGTGAGGAAACCGAGGCCTAGAGCAGGGAAGTCGAGTGCCCAAGGCGAGAAATTAAACAGCAGAGCAGGGAGTTGAACCCAACGTTCACTGCCAGGCTCATGCTCTGAGCCCCAAAGCTATGCTGCCTCCTATCTTTGAGCTCCAGGGGGACAGCTCAAGCTGTCCTGGGCTCTGCAGGGAACATAAAAATGGATATGACAGGGCATGGCCCTCAGATTATGAGTTTGAAGAATCAGCTAGGTCTGAATTATGACAGCCGGGGGAAATATTTGACCCCTTTTCCTCCAAACACACTTAGAGTATGAGAAACTGGGTGTCTAGCCCGTCACCTAAACTGGCCTTACAGGCCGAATGGGAGTCTCGCTGCTGTGCGGGAAAGCAGCCAGACGGGGCCCAGGAGGCTGAGCGGCTCCGACGACAGCACCCTCGAGGGCCCGGCTCCCACCACGCCGAGCAGCCCTGCTACAGAGGCCCTGTGGGTGGCTCCCGAGTTCCCCAGAACTGCAACAGAACCTTTTCCATTTTTTGTCATTTCTACCCCCTGCCAGAGCAGACCGCTGACTCTAGAGGGTCGCACAGGTGGGTCCCACAGAGACACCAGTGCAGGAATTGCAGGGTGACATGGGGTCAGGGAGGAGGCCTTTGGATCAGAGCGGCCACATGTTCAGCAATGGCATTAGCAGCCTCTCCTGGGAGAAGCATGACAGGCGCTGAGACGGAGCCTCACTCTCCAGGCCACAGAAGGGCCAGACTTTGACATAAGGAGAAAATAATTCTTAATAAATTATTGTTTGGGTCGACTGATGCTAAATTAGAGTGTATTGCAATCATTGAGATTTGTTAAGAAAGTCCAGAAGAATCTTCTTTCTAATATGGTTACCTGGCACAGTGGGAATACGCTTCTAATACTTTAAGTTTGGAGATTGTTAAAGATCAACACTTAAGATGGCAAGATGTTTTTGTTTCAACCACTTAAATAGAAACCTTTGTAAAATGCTTTTATGAAGCTCGCTTCCCTGCCAGGGTAAACTGCTGAACCTCTTCTCAGTGAGTCAGCGCCTGCTTTGTGATCAGTTCCTGGGGAAAGTAGTTTCTGTAGCCATCTAGCTATTAATAGTTTCCCTGTCTCCATTATCTTTCTTCTCCAACTTGTCCATCCTTTTGCTTCTAGTTATTTTATTAAAATAAAGGTTGGATTCTGCCGTTCCTCTCCTCAAGAATCATCAGTGACTCCCTATGGAATAAAGTCGAGGTTCTGTGTCAACACGTCCCAATTCCTCCCCACCCCACCACTGCTGCTGCCACCTTCCACGCTCACTGACAGCAACGCCAGACAGCCTGCGCCTCCTGTCCTGCGCTTTTGGTGGCTCCCTGTCTGATCCTGTGGCTCCCCCACCCTGTCTCCTTTCTTCCATGGCAATCCCTGTCGTTCTTCCTCCATAAAGTCTTCCCCAGTCCCTGTCGTCATAATCACTCTTCCTCTGGGCCCTCTTAGAGGCTGGCGGCACTCTGATGCCACATGAACTCCATTCTGTGCTGTGATTAATGTGTTCATGTCTCTCTGTACTGATAGCAAGGCCTATCTAATTTGTCTTTGTGTCTAGACAGCATGTTGCATTTGTAATCTACACACTTATAAAAGCATGAACTAAGAAAGGAGTTGCATGAATGAAAATTAGGATAATGACAATAAATTCCATGTATTGCACCCTTCCTGTGGGCTGGGTGCGAGGCTGTTATAAAACAGTGTCCTTACGACAGCACTATGTGGTGGGCATTATTAGTATCTCTATTATACAGCTGAGAAAACTGGGCCTAAAAAGGATTGTAAAATCTGCCTGAGGCCGCATAGCTCCTGAGTATGGGGCTGGATAGGATGGATGGGAGCCCAGGCTGTCTGTGTTGGCTCCTGCCATGAAATCTCATATGAACAGCCTGGCCCTCTGTGAAGCATTCAGATAAAACCTAAGAGAAACAAGAATGGCCCACTCCAGGCATCTTGGTGCACAGAGGCAGAAAAGAGAGAAAAGTGTCAGGTGCTAGAGGTTGTTTGATGGTGACCCGCCCACCCCACTACACTCATCTTCTGGTCCCCAGAGAAACTCACAGCGTCATAATCATAAAGTCACAGCCTTGCAGGCGATTGCCCTGATAGCAAAGCACGACAGTACTAGATCCATAGTACTAGATCCAAAGTGGGGGCTGGTTTTCCAGTATCTCAGGGAGCCCTCCCGAGGGGTGCAGGTAGTGATTTTAGAACTAGGCATTCTGGGTTCAAATCTCGGCTCTGCTCGTTACTAGCTGCTTGGCCTTGGACCCATCATTTAATATAGTTTAAAGCTTAATTTCCTTACCTGCGAAACAAGGATAAGATGGTGCCTGCATTATGCTTTTATGGGAATCAAGTAATATACTACATGTGAAATGCTTAGCAAAGCCTGGCACACAATAATGCTTTATTAATGTCATTGTCACCTTGGGCATTGGGAATGTCTCGATAAAGCTTCAGTCCCAGTACTGATGTGGTCCCATGACAATCACATGGTTACCACAAAGAAATGGATCCTAGAAAGCCTCTAATTGTAATGGGTAAAATTTGGGGGAGAGTAAATTCGAGTTTAATATGGGCCAGGTGGTTTTACATGTGTGTGATTGCGTGGTCCCTGCCAGGAGGCTGAGAGCCCGGGCAGCCTCCGTATCAGGAGTGGCCTTTCCTATGGTGACTTTTACCGGGTTTGGGGCTAATGCTGCATTTGCTGTGTCATAATTCCACTCCACCCAACAGAGGGACTCCTGCCCTTGCCTGGTCCATCCTGCGGGCACAGCACCAGGCACTAGGAGCCACGTGAGAATGGCCCCAGTGGCCCCCATCTCAGCATCCGCTCCAGGCCAAGACACACAGGGGTTCTGGCTTGGGTTCTGGAGTCAGACCGCCTAACTCAGAATCCCGATTCTGCCATTCGCCAGCAGCATGATCTTAGGTAGATTGCTTTACCTCTGGGCCTCAGTCTCCTCATCACTAAAATGGACATTGTTAATGGTGCTTAGAAGAGTATCTGATGCAGTCTAAGGGCTCAGTGTTGGCCATCACAACTAATTTACAGTCTCTGCAATTCTCAGAACTACGTAAAGATGGGTATTCTTATCCCCAGATCAGGAGGCAGAGGCTCAGCGAAATCACAAAACTGTTCTAAGTTCACACAGCGCTTAGTGGGTAAAGCCAGGATTCCAGCGCCCAGGCCTAAAGGACCCCAAAGTCCCAGGTCTTCTCACCAAGCCACCCTTCGTAATGGGAACAAAGAGCTAGAGACCAGAAGGACGATCTTGAATGAGACTGAGGACAATCCAGGGTGGTGTAGCATTTCCTGATAAGTGTCCCTGCACCTGGGATCATTACCAGGTGCTGGGAGAGTTCAGAGAAGGGTGAGCTTAGGGTGAGCTGAGAGTTGCATGAGGCTGCGTGCCGGAGGTGGGACCGAATGGGGCTTTGGAGGACTAGCAGGATTAGGCGAGAGGATGAAGATGAAGGAGGGTGTCCTCCTCCACCAGCTCAGATAGGGCCTCACAAGGCAGTCCCCGAAGCAGGTCTCAGAGGCAGATGTGCACAGAATGAACGCCCTGCTCTGGAAAGGGACAGAAGACTACAGGGGGTGCAAAGCCAGACGTGCTGCCGGCAAGGGGGACTCCTGCCACAGTGGACACTGGGGACTCCAGGGACAAGCTGAGATGGGGGCTGTGGAGGATGGTGTGAGCAAAGGGGCGAGGGCTCTGCGGGTGAGTCCAGCCTTTCAGTTCTGGGTCAGCAGGGACCCGGGGCAGATGCTCGTGGCATCTCAGTGAATCTGACACAGCCTCAGCTGTGGCCCGGATCCTGCTCTGCAGGCCGCGCTCGCTGGGTCCCGCCCATCGCTCCCCTTACAGAGCTGCTGGCGGCACAGGGAGCACGTGGGAAGACCTCAGTGAGATGCGGAAGGAAGGAGAGAAGGAAGGTGGGCCAGCTGCAGTGGTGAGGACAGACGCAGGGAAGAAACAGAAAGCAGAACAATGGAGGCTGCGGGGGCGGCAGCGTGCGGCCCATGCCACCCGTCCGGCCGAGAGGAGAAAGAGACGTGATTCAGTGCAGGGAGCTGAGGACAAGGCCCAGAATCAGGCTGCAGGGGCTGTTTTGAGTCCAAATACTTCACATCTTGGCAGCTCCCTTTGCCTGTGTGTTTGTTCACCACGTCACAGGATCATTAACAGGGGGGATGTACTGTCATAGGGGACAAATTTCATTCCACTATCCTGAGTTCCATGTGGCAGGACCTGTGTTGATAGCTTTGCCGACCTCACTGGGAGAGTGTGAACCAGGAGACAGGAAACCAGACAAATGCTGGCTCCACTGAGGACACAGGGCAGGGGCAAAGCAGTGTCGTTTCTCACTTCCCCAGTGGACGAAGGGTCGTTATGTGTACCCTGTGCTCTCTGGTGGGCTTTTACCCAGGAGTCCCTGTTCCAGTGCCTTCTCTGCCCTAGAGTCTTTTTCATTTGAGTGACTTCAGCTTCTTCGCCCTGTAATTACTCTGATCTCCTTCCAAGACATCAGTGGCCAGAGGAGAAGTAGAAGGTGGACCTGGCAGGGATGTCACAACAGCCCCTGGATATCGGGCCCAAGAATCCAAGGAACAAGATCTTGTTCAGTTCTGGTTTCTTAGGGTTTTGGGGGTGACCAGTGGGGCTCCTGCAGTGACCCCAGCAGCCTCTGGGGCACCACGACCAGTGTCGCCATCCCCCCCCCCCCCCCCCCGCTGCAGCCCGACCTCAGAATTCAAAACTACAGGAGGCTGTTCGAGTGCGGAAGCTCAGGAACTGGGAAGCAGGTTCTGGTGTGAATATCAGGGGCTCTGGTGCTTTCAGAATGATAAGAAATGCCCGAGAAAGTGTAAACATCTCAGCCTGGGTGGGGGGGGGGAGGACTGGGAGAATGGGAGCGTGGGCTGGGTTTACTGGCTGCAGTCACCCTGGAGAGGTTACTTAATGTCCCTGAGATGCATTTTCCTCCTCTGCGAAACTGGAATAGTAATTTCTATTAATGTATAATGGTGCTAATGGAAAGATTAAATGAGGAATGTCTGTAAAGAGTTTAACATATTGCCCAGAACAGAATAAATATCCAACAGGTTTTGGATATCTTCCTTTCCCCCAGCAATGCCAGCTGCTCCGGGTAACACACTCTGCTTGGTGACCATGAGGTCCCTGCAGGCAATGTTCACTCCTCAGAGCACAGGCAGGGTGGCTGGGTCTGAACTGAAGGTAGCAGGCTCGCACCAGCCAGATCTGCATCTCTGGAGGGGCCAGGCTCCATTCTTTGTGCAATTCAAGCTTTGCCCTCCTGCACTCTAGGGGAGGGACTATAGTGAGTCTTCTGCCGACCTCTAGGCAGGCACTGGCCCTTTCCATCCTCTGCCCTCTGAAGGTCAGCATTACCAAGGTCAACATGCTCTTGGCTTAGAGGGTTTGGAGGAGCCATTTGCTCCCAGGACTGGACAGAGGACAATAATCCAGTCTCTGGGGGAAACGGGTGGGTTTATTTCAGGATCCTTGGGTGGACCAAGTCTCCACAGGCCTCCAAAGAGCACTTGACTGGCCTCCCAGGCTCAGGTCTCTGTGCACTGCGGTCTCCGAGGTCCTCAAAGACTCCCCGGGTTCAGGACCCCTCAGGGCTGGTTGCTGAGGCCCTGGGCACGCAGCTGTGCAGGGACCCAAGGCTCAGGGGAAGCAGCTGGAAGTGCTCCTGGGATGGAGGTTGGGGTGGGGAGGGAGCAGTAGGGGAGGGCACAAAATGCAGGTGGTGACGGTGGTTTTGGACCGTTTCCAGGGATTGAGCTGTAAGCACAGAGGAGACTGGGCAAGGCCCTACTGTTCTGGCAAAGCAATAGGAAGCATTTCGGAGATTCCAAAACATCAGTGGATTTGGGGGGATCTACTTGTCTTTCAGTTCAGGAGAAGCAATAAAGTCAGAGGTGGTGGTTTATAGCAAGGTTTTCCAAATTTAACACATTGACTGCCACACTAGGAAAACCATTTTTTTGTGTTTTATTACAAAAATAGAATAAAAACTTTAAAAACAAAATGATCCTTTCTAATTTAATGAAAAATTTGTTATTTTTTATTGTTTTCTGTGTGTCAGTTATATGCAACTTGAAAAACAGTTCAAGTGCCTTCCAAGGTAAAGAGACGTGTGAGTTACATATGCTTCTCAAGGCTCTGGGCTCGAAACTAGTGTGGGTTAAATACAACTCACATGGCAGTTAATGTGTTCATATACATTCAAGTCCCCTGGAGCTCTTGCTAAAATGCAAATTTTGATCCAGTAGTTCTGGGGTGAGGCAAAGACTCTGCATTTCTAACAAGATCCTAGGTGATGCCAATGCTGCCAGGGTGGGAATCACACTTTGTGTAGCAAAGGCTTAGAAGACCCAGTTGGACCACATTTCTGTGTTCTGGGAGAGGTTAAGCACAAATGTACTGATATTAAGATTATTTGGAGGGTTTCGGGGAAGACAGCACGTGTCTGAGGTCAACAAAGAGAACCATGCCAAGCCTCAGGAAGACTGGAGAATGCAAATTGCTAGGGTCAGGGAATGTTAGGAGAGGTTGCTTCATAGCTTCATCGCTGGGCCCTGAGCTCCAAAGGTCTGCACTTCTGCAGGAGTAGAGAGTATTAGCATTGGAGGGGACATGGCAGATCTTCTGATTTAATTCCCACATAATATAGATAAGGAGAAGGAGACATCCAAGGTTACACAGCCAGTTAGTGGCTCAACATTATAGGACCTTGTGTGCAGGCTCAGTGGTTTGCAATTCTGCTTGTTGGTGATGCAGAGTCACAAAAAGATTTAAAGAGAACTTTATTTCAGAGCACTTCTCTGGTAGGAGAGTGGGGGTTGAAAGGGCCACATTCAGTTAGGAATCAAGAGAATTAGAGGCTTCTGTACACGGACAAATAGAGCAAGAGATGAGGAGAAGCTACTTTCCCCATCACACTGAATTGTAATTGCTTTTAATGACATCTATCTTCCCTTTTAGACTATAAATTCTGTGAGTGTGGAGTCTCTAACTTGTTTAGCACTGTATTTCTACCTAAGACCTTGTGTACACCTGGCACATGGAAGATGTTTAATATGTGTTTGGTAATAGATGAGTAGATGGATGGATGGATGAAGAATAATACTAGATCTCCTTTGTAGTCAAATGTCTAATAGATGTGATCATTCTTGAAATTAGGATAGGCGACTTTTGTTTTAAATGAGTAAAATACTTCCCTTTCCATGAACATGAATATAAATATAAATATTAACTTAGTCAAGAATCAGTTAAAGTATGTTAGAAATACTCTTACCTGAAGCATAGTCCCTTTGGGGAACACTTGGAGGAGCTTTGACTTTCAGCCTGTAAGTAAGAACCATTAGACAAAGGGTCACTGGGCAGGACAGCCGGTGCCAGGGCCCATGACATAAGCTGATACAGAGATAACAGATAGACCACTAATGAATAATGGCTTCTTTCGGGTCCATCATGTTGAAAGATTTAACATATGGTAAATACAGTGAAGCCAGTAGTCCGAGGTTTCCCACCTCTCCCATGTCCCCAGTGCACAATGTGGCTACTTGGGGGAAGGTGAAGTTGGGTGGTGAAGGGCTCACAGAGGCCAGAGTACTAGTTAGCTCTGAGTGCTGAGGTTCAAGGAAGATAAGAGTTGATTGGTAGTTAGGAAGGTAAGAGAAGTTGAACAATATTTTAATGGCTTACAAATGGTATCAGTAACAGGACAAAAATTAACTATAATAAACGTTTTGGTTGTAGGTCAGGCCAAAATTACTTTTGCACCACTTTACAAAATGTCAAATAAGTGAACAGTGAGTGTCTCAATACTGGGGATTGTGATATTTAGCTTATTTAGAATTCCGACGGTTTCAAGAACTCTCAAAACAACTATCTTTATGCACATATGAAATGTACTGAATATTCACAATCCTTCTCCACTCATTAAAATAAGAAAATTTAAATTACATTTTTAAAAAGTATTCCAAGTTTCAGACATTTTATAAAATCTAACAACACCTCAATTTCTATTATTTGAAATTAGTAAAGTGTATATTAAATTATTATTTTTAATAATAATTGCCCATTTTAATTAAGAATGATTTGCTTAATGAAATTTAAAATATATATATAAATAAAACATATCCAATAGCCTTTATTTACTAAAATAGCATATCCTTTCATAGAAGCAGTATATAGGGTAACCATTATATACAAAATATTCATTTCTTGAAAAGAAAAGCAGCACAAAAATTCACGTTTGATTAAAAAACACACACATGAAGAACTTATAAACCAGTATTGTAATTTTGCAAGAATAATATATTTGCATAGAAATTTTTTTTTTTCCCTGATAAAATAGGCTCTCAATATTATCTCATTCAATTCTTATCATAGCCAGCAGGTGTGCCAGGAAGGTATCATTTCCTATGCTAAGGTACAGAGACAGAGATTGTCCAAGGTGTTGTAGGGAAAAAAAACAAAATCAAAACTGGTTGTAGTGCCTGGGTCAGGTCATGGAAGAGTAAAATTTCAGAAAACAAAAACCATTATCTGCTATCATTTCATAAAAGAAAACAAAGGGTATTTTGACATCCCCAAATCACCTCAGTATAGAGGACAAACTCATGAAAGGACCGTTGGCCACTGAGCACAGACCAGGAATACAAGGTGTGGTTTGAACTTTATTTAGTAGCTGGCAGCTGCACTCCAACCCTCAACACTTCAAGGTCCTTATTTTCTCATGCGGCCATAGACCAGTGAAAACTCTGTCGCGGTCTTGTGTTAGGGAACCGGTGTGTTCGACTGTGTGCTTCCTCCTTTCAAGTTAGCACCTGTTGCCTGGCTTCAAGTGAGAGTGTAACTGCGGGTCACTTTGAGCTGAAGGGCCCTTGACTTCACCCAGGGTAATGACTAATCGTGGCCATATTTTCCAGGCTGAGAAGAAACATGTTTGTCAAGTAAAAGTGCTTTTGTCCTGTTCTAAAGGCACAGAGAAATGGACTTTTATATACTATTCTTGGTACAAAATTTTGGGAGAAAAATTTGGTGATAGCAATCAAAAATGTAAGAACACAACTCCTTCCACGCAGAAATTTCACTTCAGGAATTTAGTTTACTGGTACACTCAAGGTCTGCAAAGGATATTTATTGAAGTATTGTTTATGACAGTGATACTGAATGAACTGGCCAGAGAATTTTTTTTTTTTTTTTTTTTTTTTTTTGAGACAGAGTCTCACTTTGTTGTCCAGGCTAGAGTGAGTGCCGTGGCGTCAGCCTAGCTCACAGCAACCTCAAACTCCTGGGCTCCAGTGATCCTTCTGCCTCAGCCTCCCGAGTAGCTGGGACTACAGGCATGTGCCACTATGCCCGGCTAATTTTTTATATATATATATCAGTTGGCCAATTAATTTCTTTCTGTTTATAGTAGAGACGGGGTCTCGCTCTTGCTCAGGCTGGTTTTGAACTCCTGACCTTGAGCAATCCACCCGCCTCGGCCTCCCAAGAGCTAGGATTACAGGCGTGAGCCACAGCGCCCGGCCTGGCCAGAGAATTTTGATTGATGTTATCAAATTGGCCTGCAAAAATGTTGTGCCAGTATAAATTTACAGCTCCCTCACCCTAAAAACTGTCCACCAAAATGTAGCTAGTTAATTGAATTATAATACATTTATAGTATACTATTAATCAGCCATTCAAAAGAGAATATGGTTTGTTTTTACATACTAACAAAAAAAGATGTCCATGATATAGGATTAAGTGAAAGCAATAAAACAAGCTAGTATAATGGTGGATGTCATATAATGCCAGACCTGTGTACAGGTATGTAAAGCATCAGTGTTTGTACGTGTGTAAACATATACATATAGATATACTGAACTCACTCATGACAATGTCTGTTTCTGGAAATGAGTTAAAGTGGGGATATGAAAAGTGGGAGACTTTGACTTCCTACAATTCTGAATTCTTGATTTTTTTTTTCCTGTATTATTTTCATTTTAAAAAAAACTTAAAAACTCAACAGAATACCATTTCTTCTTTTCTCATGACTTACATTTTGAGTGGTAAATGCAGGTATGTATAATTTCTATTTTCTTAAAAAAAAAAAAAAGCTTAAGAGTTTTTAGTGTACAAGAAGTTTTGGGATTCTAGCTTTCCCTTTCCAAGTGCCGATTGTGAAAACACCATTTTAAGGCAACAATTGAAAAAGCAGAAGTCAAAATATAGAAAACCGACATGGCATCCTACAGAAGCCTGGCTGTATTTTGTAACTTCTCATTTGGATTTCTCCAGGCGTGTCCTGGCTGCCCTCAGCTACAGAGTTATAGACCTGGTTTTCCTGCTTTGACTTTTACTAGGCTTCTTGAGTGGTCATAGCTCACCCTTCCTGCAATGAGAAGGAAAATCAAACTTCCCTGAGTATCACCTTACTCACTTACCATATTTCTAGAATCTAGACCTAACCACCATCGATTCTAGCCAATAGTAAGAAAGGGCTACACATGAATAGGATTGCAACTCCTCACTCAGGTAACAGAGAAATTTGTTTTCTTCAACATAGCACAGTCTTACTTATCTTATAGAGCTAAATATTTAAACACAGTCTAGCTTACTTTTTGATTTTGTTCATTATTCCACCTTCATTGTTCTTAATATCATGGACCATCTTCTGAAGCTGCCTGTAAGAAACAAAAGTAAACATAAAATATTACTAACCAGGCTGATTTTTAAAAATAAAGTCTTCTATTCTTTTTGAATACAAAAAAGGAGGAAAAAAACACCCCTACAATAAAACCTCCAAATAGCATGAATTATATTGTATTTAATTAAGTTGACCATCTGCTACTTTAGCAGAAGAAAAGCAGGACTGATTCTATAGGGAATGTAGTCATTGGGCTATGTCCCCATCCATTGGGATGGCTAGGCCAGTGTCAGGCTGCGAAGAAAGGAATTCTGATTCCCAGATCCGTCTGTTCTGAGGAGACAAGGGAGGCAAAAGCCCTGTGATGCTGTCACAAGCCTCACTGTTCAGTGCTTATTATTACTTATTATTGGCATTTATCCACACTGCAAGGATGAGTACTACTCTCTGGACACAGTGCACACTGCATTCAGACCCAAGATGTTTTCTAAACTTTACTAGGTACAATCTATAAAAACTGTCATTTAAAAGTTACACATACCTCATCCCAGGGATGCAGGGATGGTTCAACATACGTAAATCTATAAATACAATTCACCACATAAACAGAAGCAAAAACAAAGACCACATGATTCTTTCAATAGATGCAGAAAAAGCTTTTGACAAAATTCAACACCCTTTCATGATACGAACACTTAAGAAAATAGGCATAGAAGGGACATACCTAAAAATGATACAAGCCATATATGACAGACCCATAGCCAACATCATACTGAATGGGGAAAAATTGAAATCATTCCCACTTAGAACTGGAACCAGACAAGGCTGCCCACTATCTCCACTTCTGTTCAACATAGTGCTGGAAGTCTTGGCTACAGCAATCAGACAGGAAAATGGAATCAAAGGTATCCAAATAGGGGCAGAAGAGATCAAACTTTCACTGTTTGCTGATGATATGATATTGTATCTAGAAAACCCCAAAGATTCAACCAAGAAACTCCTGGAACTGATCAATGAATTTAGTAAAGTCTCAGGATACAAAATCAATACACAGAAATCAGAGGCATTCATATACGCCAACAACAATCTAATTGAGAACCAAATCAAAGACTCAATTCCCTTCACAATAGCAACAAAGAAATTAAAGTACCTAGGAATATACTTAACCAAGGACGTAAAAGACCTCTACAGGGAGAACTATGAAACACCGAGGAAGGAAATAGCAGAAGATGTAAACAGATGGAAATCCATACCATGCTCGTGGATCGGCAGACTCAATATCATCAAAATGTCTATACTACCCAAACTGATCTACAGATTCAATGCAATACCTATTAAAATCCCATCAGCATTCTTCACAGATATAGAAAAAATAATTTTACGCTTCGTATGGAACCAAGGAAGACCCCGAATATCAAGAGCAATTCTAGGCAACAAAAACAAAATAGGAGGCATTAATATGCCAGATATCAAACTATACTACAAAGCTGTAGTAATTAAATCAATATGGTATTGGCACAAAAATAGGAATATTGACCAGTGGAACAGATGTGAGAATCCTGATATAAAACCATCCTCATATAGCCATCTAATCTTTGATAAAGCAGACAAAAACATACGCTGGGGAAAAGAATCCCTTTTCAGTATATGGTGCTGAGAAAAGTGGATAGTCACTTGTAGAAGGCTAAAACAGGACCCACACCTTTCACCTCTCACAAAAACCAACTCACGCTGGATAACAGACTTAAACCTAAGGTATGAAACTATTAGAACTCTAGAGGAAAAAGTTGGAAACACTCTCCTAGACATCGGCCTGAGCAAAGAGTTTATGAAGAAGTCCCCAAAGGCAATCACAGCAGCAACAAAAATAAATAAATGGGACATGATCAAACTACAAAGCTTCTGCACAGCCAAAGAAATAGTCATGAAAGTAAACAGACAACCTACAGAATGGGAGAAAATTTTTGCATCCTATGCATCCGATAAGGGACAGATAACTAGAATATACTTAGAACTCACGAAAATCAGGAAGAAAAAATCAAATAACCCCATTAAAAAGTGGGCAAAGGACTTGAACAGAAACTTTTCTAAAGAAGACAGAAGAATGGCCAACAAACATATGAAAAAATGCTCAACATCTCTAATCATCAGGGAAATGCAAATCAAAACCACAATGAGATATCACTTAACCCCAGTGAGAATGGCCTTTATCAAAAAATCTCCAAACAATAAATGCTGGCGTGGTTGCGGAGAGAGAGGAACACTCCTACACTGCTGGTGGGACTGCAAACTAGTCCAACCTCTGTGGAAAGCAATATGGAGATATCTTAAAGCGATACAAGTGATCCTACCATTTGATCCAGCAATCCCATTGCTGGGCATCTACCCAAAAGATCCAATGACACTCTACAAAAAAGACACCTGCACTCAAATCTTTATAGCAGTACAATTCATAATTGCAAGGCTGTGGAAACAGCCCAAGTGCCCATCAATCCAAGAATGGATTAATAAAATGTGGTATATGTATACCATGGAGTACTATTCAGCTCTAAGAAACAATGGTGATATAGCACATCTTATATTTTCCTGGTTAGAGCTGGAACCCATACTACTAAGTGAAGTATCCCAAGAATGGAAAAACAAGCACCAGATATATTCTCCAGCAAACTGGTATTAACTGAGTAGCACCTAAGTGGACACATAGCCTACTACAGTAATAGGGTATTGGGCAGGTGGGAGGGGGGAGGGGGGTGGGTATATACATACATAATGAGTGAGATGTGCACCATCTGGGGGATGGTCATGATGGAGACTCAGACTTTGGGGGGGAGGGGGGAAATGGGCATTTATTGAAACCTTAAAATCTGTACCCCCATAATATGCCGGAAAAAAAAAAGTTACACATATCCAGAAGCCATAAAAAAATGACTAAATGTGACTAGATAAATATTTGAAACTTTTGTGCAACAAAAAGTAATATGTACAAAATCAAAAGATAAATGACATGCTGGAAGCAATATTTGCAGTACATAATAATAAGGACTACATAGCTTGATTTACAAAGAAATCTTACAACTCAGTAAGAAAAAGAGGAACAATTCAATAGAAAAATGAGCAAAATATGTGGACATATAGCTAATAGAAAACAAATACAAATGGCCAACAGACCAATGGAAAGATATTTAACAAATCTAACTCAAGACTGCAATTAGATACCACGTTCTGCCTATGGGGCTGGCAAAGCATAACAAGTGTGGTATTACCCAGTGTTGGGAAGGTTAATTGTTACAATCAATATGTGTCAAAATTTAAAATGTCCATGACTTTTGACCCAGTAATTCCACTACTAGAATTTGCCTTATAAACATGGTCACAATACTATACCATTATATACTCATAAGCATGTTTATTACAGCATTATGTGTAAGAACTCTAATCTTCTGTGCTCTCCTTGGCCCCCACAAGAACTCTGAAAACCTAAATGTCCATCAATCATTAAAAGGGAACTAGTTAAATAAATGTTCATAGAGCCATACAATGGAATGCCATAGACCCTTAAAAAAAAACAACAAGAAATATACATCTATTGCTGCCTGATGTTTCTACTTTCTAAAAATGGAACTTACATTTACAATGAAGATTTTTTTATATTATTTGAATTTTCATGACATATGCATATATCACTTTTATTATCTGTATTTATATATACATAGAGGAAAATGTTAACATGGTGGGAATATAGAGCCATGTTATGTTTTCATAGTAATTTCCTGACTTAAACATATATATGCATACATATATATATATATATATAATTGCATGTGGTTCTTCCCTGAAAGAGTAGGATGTTTGAATTTACTTTTCAGGCAAGCCTTTCTTTTGTTTTGAGAAAACTATTTTATTGTACCCTTTAGTTAGTAAAATGTACAGTCTGTGTACACAACCATTGTTCTTGGAGGAAGCTGTGATTTCCCCACAAACCTGAATGCAGATTTCTCTGACTCTAGGAGGGAGGCTTGCTGTTAGGTTACATGAAGAATGGTTCACAATTAAGCCTCACATAGGTCTATGAGCCCTGTGGGCGGATCTGGGAGAAATATTCCCTCGGCCCTCTGTGGATTTAGAGTACTCATGCTGAGAGAGAGAGGTTGCAAGGGATGGATTGGATTGATTGGGAGGATGCAGTAATTTCAAATCGAGAGCAGAGGGCAATTCTGATTGTAAGCTGACTGTAACTGGAATAACTTTAGCCTGAGTTAATGCTTAACCAGCTTAAAGGGCAAAATGAGCCAGCCGTGAAGGATCCTATCAGATGTTTGTCAAGAGTGGGGCACAGGCAGAGTAATAGGGAACCAGGGGCTGATCTGCATAAGTGACTTTGCTGTGGATGTAAACAGACAGATGTAAATTGTTGCAAAAGAGTTGGATACAATTTTGTCATTTGCTCAACTTGGTATTTCCTAATTACTTTTTATTGCAGATTATTATAATTATACTGTGTAATTATATCATTATAGTAAATTGCCGAAGTGTTTCATAAACTACATTTTTATTAATACATAATAGTTGTACATATTTATGGGGTCCATGTGATGTTTTGATGCAAGCATACAAGGTGTAATGATCAAATCAGGATAATTGGGATATCTATTGCCTCAAACACTTACCATATCTTGTGTTGGGAACATTCCAAATCTCCTAGCTATTTTGAAATATACAGTAAATTATTGTTAACTATAGTCATCTGGATAAACTATACTTTTTATGTTTCAAAATTTTCTTCTCTCTCTGTATATCCTTCACACAAATCCTGACATCTGCAGACTGCTCAGTTACAGCTGCCAAACTTCTGTGACCTGGGAAGACACAATGACCCCCACACCGAGGGATGAGATGATGCTCTTAGCTCATTGTCTGAACTCATCCCACACTGTGTGATGCAGAGCTTTGCTGCTCTCTGGTATTGCACATTTTATTTTGGAGCACTTTTTCCCTCTATTGCAACCTACAGCGTATGCAATGGCAAAGGAATGTATG